CATTTCATTTCATTTCATTATCCTTACCTTTTAGTGGACGTTAATTATTGAAACTGGCCTTTAGGGTAAATCCCAAACAAGTAGCACCAAACAACAAACGGATTCATCTTCAACGGATAAAGCAACATGTAACCGTAGGTACCTTATCGGGTCAAGTTCACAGAGACAATAACAATCATTTTACGCCATTCAGTTCAGACTGACCTCCCCGTGTGTGGTGCGCCGTGGTGACCTCCATTATCACCTGCGTCCGCGCACTGTTCCCAACCACTTGAGGTATTAATTGTGCGTTTTTAGTTTTAAAACAAATGAAGATAGCTCGTCTTTTTGTTGGAGTGTTTTTTTTATTGAAGAAATTTGGTTGATAGCTGATGGTATAGAGCCCATGCTTCGATGAGTTGCAGTTGTTCAAAAAGTCATCTTCTTTAAAGTATATTTTATTTCAATTTCTCTGTTCTACCGTTAAGTTAATGTGCCCGTAAATAATATAATTAATTCAATCCTTAAAAATGTCTTTCCCTTAGTTAGTAGATATATTTGTTTCTTAGGTTTTCACGCACATCACTCATTAGTAGATATACTTACACAAATAAAACTGCTGCCATGTCTGGTGTTGTGTTCTTGCCGAAAGCCGACTTTTTTTTATAACTGGAAAAGGTGTTTCTGAACCACCGTGAGAAGCGCGTACAGGATATCTAGAGACTCATTACCGCCTATTACATCCAGCTTGCAAAAGGACGATAAAATGAGGCAGGACCTAGTTAAAAACCAGGTAATACTCCTGCACCGGTCACGCGGCACGCATTATGAGGAAGAAGGTCCTCCTAATTCGTATGGGGAGTGTGGGTAGTGACGTGACGCCCTACAAAAGACTGGCCACGCACCTACAAGGTAGCAGAGACGACCATAGCCTGATTGGTTTCAGCGCCCTGTTTGGTCGACGCTCTTTGGACAATTTTTGTTTTTCAGTGGATTTTTTTGCTCCTCGATCCATCTATACTTGCCTTATGTCAGTTTGCCTACGCTCGCGTTGGGTTAAGCTCGGCCAACATGTATTGGTCCAACGCCGCCAATACATGTTGGCCGAGCTTACATGTTGTCTATTTCGATACTCTTTTGTGGACCCTCAGCTTATTGGTCTTATGATATGCGTGTTTTTTTCGTCAATCGGATATCAATTACGGATTCCTGAATGTGGAACAACAAGTTTCAGTTTTCAGTTTTGATGATCTGATTTATGTTGGAACAACCATAATATAAACAGTCCATGGATAAACTGTAACATATTAATGTAAATTAATTTATAAATATAATATAAAAACAGTAATAATTAATAAAATCGCAACTAGTTCATTGCCAACGCAAAACTCATTAGCTTTATTAAAACAGTGCGTATTTTATAATTATCCTCATAAATACAGTTGTTAACTCTATTATAAGGTTACCTAAAAGTATCTATTAAATTATATTATTATGTCCAGTGATACACATTTAGGTGTTTTGTTATAAAAGATTACATTCTTTAAGGTTTTTTTGCTAAAGCAAATGTTTATTAAATTATGTGTGATTATTTATTCAATAAATATATGAATAAATAAAATACGCATGTATTGTGAATTACACGTCGATTGTTTTTATTATTAATTACTAACGCAAACGCGATTGATAGAATAACAAAAGTAAATTAGCGACTTTCCGGTAGTTTGCGCAACATAGTTCTGACATTTGGGTATAAAGTGGTCAGTTGGTTGTTACGAACGTTTATGGGGGGTCAAAAAATCTTTAAAATTTGCGTTACGTAATACTTGAACGCCCCCTTACACTCTGAGGATTGATTCCTATGTATGTTGTAGAGACTATTATAAACAATTTGAAATTCATACTGCCAGACACATTCTGTCATCAGTTTTTATTGCCAGACACTTTAAACGTCGAAAGCGAAAAACACAAACAATATTCTCTATAACATACGTAGGAATCAGTTGTCAGACTGTTAGTAAAGAGAGTAAAATTGTTCCGTGCCTGTGCTACCTGATACCTGGAAATTGGCCCACAGCACAAGGTAGCAGGTATTAGGTCCTTACATATGAAGGTGGTTTTCCAATTACAGAGCATATTGCGACTCACTGGCGCACAATGCCGAATTATGCTGATGCTTAATTGGAACGTGAATTAGTTTTCAAATGCACCAACAGAGTGCGCTAAGTTCAGTGTTGAAAAATAAAATCAAGGTTTGTACCTTCTTTCTTTCTTATATTTAATTTTTTAATACAGTTTGAATTAACTTATTTAAAAAAAAACTATAATGAAACGAAAGTTTTAATAATTTTTCAACAATAAATAATATTACTAAGGATAACATATACCTAAATAAAACATTTCGATCAATGCCAACTTAAAGAAAAAACACTTGTTAATTTTCTGTCTCTGAGTTGGTACGATTGCACGCATCAAGCGTTGCTGTAGTTGAAACACAACGTTAAGCATTGTGCCGCATAATGCGCTATAATGCTGTAATTGGAAAGCTACCGTTTGCGTTGTGCACGGGAGGAATATAAAGTCATTTTTTTTTGTTTAGCTATATGAATTTATAAATTTGAAATTGAATTTCTTTACCAAAGAGGAGATTTTCAGATCAAAGTGGTCAGTACGACAAAACGCTAATTTCAATTTTCAATATGTAAGGACCTAATATGTATATGTTCATTGCACACACTAATACTACTCAGTTATCCTTATTTTGTCCATCAGAAAATAAGGAAGGTCCGACGGTCTCTGGATCTTGTACTATCATATCATATTACCAATGTTTAACGTCTTCCAACATCGATCCAATATATTATAAACTGTTAAAGTAGAGTATTATTCCAAATACAAACAAATCTTCGTCCTGAATTTGAATCAACAACTTAATATTTCGCTTACTTAAATATCCTCTACTAATGTACTTTTTCAAGGACTCATTTATCTTTATTATCGCTACAAAAAGTAACCTCTTTGCGCTTTGTCAAGGACACATTTATAATTACTTATTACATATACAACAAGTGAGGAGCTCGATGGCGCAAGTGGTTAGCGCGTTCAGCTGCGATCGTTGAAGTTAAGCAACTTTCGCAGTGGTTGGTCATTGGATGGGTGACCAAAAATTTTATTATCTCGAGCTCCTCCATGTTTCGGAAGGCACGTTAAGCCGTTGGTCCGGGTTATATCTGCAGTCGTTAGCACCTACCAATCCGCACTGGGACCGCGTGGGTCATGGCCCAATCTCTCTATTCCACTCATAAGGTAGGCCTGTGCCCCAGCAGTGGGGACATTAATAGGCTGGTAATGTGATTCAACAGGTCGAAACCTGAGGTTTTCCTCTTACAGAATATTTATTTTCTACCATCCGACTAAACAACATTTCAATCTTTAACTTCTGACCTTTGCCCACATTTACTCCGACCGGTTGGATAACCAATAACCAGCAGATTAATTACTAATCGCGAATACCTAAAATGGTGTCATCACATAATCACGACGGATTTGAACTACATAAAATTATTATCGCATTAGCGCAATGAAAACTGCTCCATCTGTTTTGTTTTATCACTTCATAGTTACTGAATCCGCCCAGAATCGCGCCTAAATCGAACCAGCATGTAGGTCGGGGATATAATTACATATGATTACATATAATAATGTGGCTATACATATTGTTTTATAATTGCTTTAAAAGATTAAACCCGTGATAACGTTAGATTTCAGTCAGTTTACCTACCTTACCTACTGTACCTTAAATTGGCAAAAAAAAATATATGGATGGTAACACTGAATTTTCTTACATGCGCGCCGCGCGTTAATTAACACGTTTGAAACACGCTTCTCTGTCATCCCGCAAGTCCTGCGGGATACCGCAAATTTTTAGACCAACATATAGGCTGCAGTTAGACGACGCAAAAAATTTCTTGTGGCCGCGTAATAACTGTTCAGTCATGGCAAATTTATGTTTTATTAACTAAGACTTAACGTTGAAATCTTTGTGAGTAACTAGCTCCGCGATCACACGGCAGCCGTGCGGCCGTCTCGCTCGAATCACTCGAATGTTTTAACATTAAATGTTTTGTGTGAATCAAATGATGTATCAAATGTTTTAACATCCATTCGGAAGTAATCTGCGATTTGTTTTTCATATGCTCGCAGTTGGTTGTATAGCATATGAAATTCACCAAACTCTTCTCGCCATGCTAAAATAGGATGAAACCAAAATCTTCTACATTTCTTTTCTTCTTCTTTTTTGCTTTGACGGTACAAGTAATATGCAATCATAATTTTCATCTTCTTAGTCAATTAGCAAATAACGAATTCGTGTGAATTTTAAGAAAGACCAAGATCAACTGTAAATGAATCGAGGTAGCAGTGGCGCATGGCGGGGCCACCAGGCGGTGGCCGCGCGGCAGCCGCGCCGTTGCCGTACTGTCACCGCGCGGCCGCCACGCTGTGACATTCTGTGTCATATAAACGCGCCCTAATCCTGCAAAATGTATGCGGGGTCCCGAGTCTCCCGAGTGTTCTGGGGAGTTATTCTCTATTATTCCACCTTCCCCTTTCCTTCAGAGGACCACCCGCGCTGTCTTATGTTGTCACCATCTAACGGTGGTCACAATTCCAAAGCGTACAAAGAAATTTGGTGACTCTTTTCTTTGTCGCACTATCCGTAAATGGAATGCTCTGCCTGCTCACTTGTTCTCTCCTTCTTACAACCTGGGATCCTTTAAAGAGGCGTGAATATGCAACATGTAGTTAGGCCGGCAAGGTGAGAATGGCTGGTGTGGCAGGTAGAACTGCTGTACCAGCTATCTTCACGTCTGGACTTCACATCAGGTGGCGTGGAGTCATTTGTCGGACTTATCTATAAAAAAAAAGATATTGCATTTCCTAGTTGCAGTAGTTTACACACTTGTCATACAGTGCTTACTTTGGGGCTAGGCTAATTGGTGTATTTTTCATTTTTGTTCCAGATCTAGTCCATTGCACAAACGAGCCGAACGTGTCAATACCACAGCTTGCCAACCTCCTGGTAGAACGGACACAGAATACAAACTGGGTGGTAGTCTACAAAGCACTCATCACTGTTCACCATTTATTAGCATATGGAAATGAGGTAAGAACCCTAGTTGAGTTAATATTTTTTATTTTTTTTATTTTAATCATTTTAATGGCTGATTCAAATAATATTTTCTAGAAAAAAATATAGTCGGCCTAAGCGTCGGTCTGGATTTACGTCTCTTTAAAAGCCTTTAAAACTATTGTTTATAGTACGTTTTATTTCGTAAACAAATCTAAGAAAATATGAAATTTTAAACTATACTACTACTTGCAATATTTAAAACATAAAAGGAAAAAAATAGGTATGTTATTTATATTATGTACATTTTGTCACCGAGGTAGTCAAATTCTGAAGAGTCTACCATAGGATAATAAGATTAATATGGAAAAGTCACGAAATGAAAGTAAACAGCAATATTCATATCAATATGTACACCATAAGACGGTTATTATCATCCATCCTATATAGAAATCCTATCATTGATAATATGTAACACGAGAAGAGCGCAAATAGGTCGATCCGTAACAATGGATGAAGTCCTAGGAAAAAAACCCACGCACGACACGATTCACATTACATAGCATGTCAACAATAGGCATTTATCGTACACGAGTGCTAAATTTGTCACTTGAACTCAAATCTGACGTAGGCAGATATCAAAAATGTTTATCAGAATTTTTTATGGAACTCTTTTTATAATTTATATGCATATAAGCGGCCGTCAGCGACTTCTTTCGCCTTAACTTCAGTTTTTTTTGAGAGTCCCACAGGAACCTATTTTTATTTTTTCGGGAAGTATCCTATGTCTCAATCGATTTCATAAATTATAGGCGTTATTTATAATATAACTAGTTTGAGAACCCGCCCCCCACGACAACGGCTAACTAGAGCCGAGGTCCGAGTCTCAGAGACGCCCTCTAGTTGAGCCGACCCCCTCAGGTTCGAGTGGTCTGGAGGCTCCAGACGGAGTGGAGACTCCCCCCGTGGGGAGACGCCATCCGACTGGAATACCCCCAGAGGCACTCGCCAATTCTCGGCTTGAGGTCCCCTTAGGATCTCGCCGTCCCCAAACCCAGTGACGCTGTAAAGGTCATCTGCGACCAACAGCATACACACTCAAAAAAAAAAATAGTTTGAGAATCCCTCAGGAATCTAACTTTTTTTTTTCCAAGATGAAGAATATCCTCTATCTCAATCCAGGTCATAAACTATATGTGTACCAAATTTCATTACTATCCGTTCTGTAGTTTTTACATGATTGAGTAACAAACATACAAACTTTCGCATTTATAAAATTAGTAGTTTGAGAAACCCTCAGGAACCTTAAATTTTTTTCGGGACTAGAATGTATCCTATGTCTAAATCCAGGACATAAACTACATGCGAACCAAATTTCATTAAAATTCGTTCTGTACTTTTTACATGATTGAGTAACAAACATACAAACTTCCATATTAATAATATTAGTAGGATAAATGTAACACGGTCTCAACCTTTGGAAAATCTTTTAGTAGAAATAGATTCTTTAATTTAGAATCAGTTTGTTATTGTAACGTCCTCAATTGTTTGTTAATTGCTATATTAACTCCAATTCCATATTCGATAACAGCGTCGCATCGTATGATACAATTGGAATTTTCCAAACTAATAGGCTAAGTCAAAGAATTACACATGATATGCAAGCATTACTCTCTAACAAAGGCCGCTGAAACATGGTTCCAAACTTATTTAACTAAACTTCAATGCTAACTCGACACCACAGAACACAGAAAGTGGTTAGAAGAGTGATAAAAGACCGTTTGTACGGGGGAACAGATGTCGCCTGCTCGCCCCCACTACACTTGCACCTAATAGATAATAGCCAATCAAACAACGCGACATCAAACAATCGAACCAATCAGCGTTCACACCCGAGAACAATGACGCAATCAGAATTAAGTCTTGGGCAAATTATGAGCATTTGCTCACACATGACTGTGGCGCGCCTGCCCCGGCCAAGGCCCTTCTAACCTCTTTCTGTGTTCTGTGCGCGACACGCTCACAGACAAAACAAAATACTTTGACAAATCAAATATCTGCAGATGTGTTCGGCTATCCATTCATTAGATAAGTAGTGTTAAATGTAAATCCCACCCAAAGCCCATTCGTGTTGATCGCAGTTTTTTCGCCCCGCACGCGCTCACTTGATCGCAGTTTGAGTGGAACCACTTTTTAGCGCAGTTCGTATTCCACCATCATCAGCCTATTAACTTCCCTACTGCTGGGGCACAGGCCTTCCCTATGGATGGAATAGGGAGATTGGGCCATGACCCAACACGCGGGCCCAGAGAGGATTGGCGAACTAACGAATGCAAATGCAGCCGGGACCAACGGCTAAACGTACCTTCCGAAGCCCGGAGTAATTCGAGATAGAAGTTTTTTGGTCGCCCATCTAATGACCGACCACTGCGAAAGTTGCTTAACTTCAACGATCGCAGCCGAACGCGCTAACCACCTGCGCCATCGACCTCATTGTATTCCGTATTATTTCTTAAATCGTTGGGCTCAGTAATTTCTGCTAAACAATTTGTTATTAATAAGGATTCTGAAGGTGGTTGCAAGATATTTACCGGAAATCAGAATCTCCCTATCGAATAACAGTTTAACGATCCACGCGTACTATTATGCCGTAGGTACCGTGATTAATATTGGCGTTCCAATCTCCTGTGCGAACGTACCTATATTTGTAAAAATAGGACTGGCAGTAGGATCTCTTCACATGGATGACTGATTGAGCTATCATATAACATGAAGATTGTATGCTCCTATAGAAAATTCAATTCAATTGGCAAATGGTTAAATACCGCAGTACGTAAACGACATTACATAAATATTTCGCTCAGAGGATATTTCATGAAATTGTAGGTTAATATACTTTTCATATAATATATATCAATTACAGTTATGTGTGAGCAAATGCCCAAAACTCTGCCTCAAAACTTGACCAAAACTTGTTCTGATTGCGTCGTTGCTCTCGGGTGTGAGCACTGATTGGTTGGACTGTTTGATGTCGCGTTGTTTGATTGGCTATTATCTATAAGGTGAAAGTGTAGTGGGGGCAAGCCGGCGACATCGGTTCCCGTACTAATGCCTCTGATTACTCTTGTTACCTTTTTCTGTGTTCTGTGGCTCTGACTCTGTATATTAAAGATGGATCTCGATGGCGCAAGTGGTAAGCGCGTTCCGCTACGATCGTTGAAGTTCAGCAACTTACGCAGTTGTCGGTCATTGGTTTGATGACCTCCGTGCTTCGGAAGATACGATAAGCTGTTGGTCCCGGCTGCATCTGCAGTCGTTAAGAACCCACCAATCCGTACTAGGCCCGCGTGGTGGGTCATTATTGTCCAATCTCCCTATTCCAGCCATAGGGAAGGTCTGTGGTCCGTCAATGGGGACATTAATAGGCTGATAATGAAGTTAAAGGTAGATAATACCTTTGTTTTAACAAACACACACACACACATTGAAATAGAGAGAAAAAGGCAATTTATGGATATTATAATTACAGATCTAAGTCACTGCATCTCCATTTTGTACTAAAGCAGGACAAAAAGGTCTCAGCTTGATAATTTCCCATTAGACTAAATAAATTTTCTGGCACAGTCAGTGGGGGTCGTGCGTAGCATAAAGTTGCAGAGTTATATAATTTAAATAAGAACGTGCAAAATGATAAGAGCCATTGGAAACTGTTCTTTTACACACACGAAATATGGTGTCTCTTGTGGTATACTGGATTAGACCATAGCATTCAAGTAAGACGTCCGTAACTGAAGTAGATAACGTAACTCCAAATTTGGTAATTTCTCCATAACAAATTATTATTACCCACACATGCACACACTCCCACACAAACACAACCTTCTTTTGTTTTTTTTTCTCCTATTTATGTTTTTGTATTTCACTTAAAAACTTTTTTTTTGTGGTGTACAATAAAGAGTTTTTGTATTTGTATTTGTATTTAAAAACATAATTGTATTTGAGTTCCTTATAGACGGTTCGGAAGTGGAGAGACTGGTAATCTGTATTACAGGTCTCCTAGTACAGACGCCAGTCTCTAAGATAAATGTATTAAGGTTAAGTTAATAATGTATTGTTATGTGAGAGAATAAAGAAAGAAAATATTATTATTATTATCTTTTTAAAACCTTTGTATCGTTCGACAATACAAAATGATATAACATTTACACTGTTTAACACAGAACTAAAATTGCCTATTATAATTCGTCAAGCTATTTAGTTGTTTAGATATTGGCAACATTAAAACAAATCCTCCGACCGGACGACCTCCGTGGCCGAGTGGTTTGTACGCCGGGTTCCATGGTGTCGCCGATTCGAGAGGTCCCTGGTTCGAATCCCGGTGGGGGCAGATGTTTGTGTATTGAATACGAGCATTTGTACTCCAGTCATGGATGTTTAATATGTATTCTAACCTTAACCCTAGTATCCTGTAACACAAGTCTTACAGTACTTACTTTGGGGGGCAGGCTAATTGGTGTGAGTGCTGGAAATATTTGTTACTATTATTAAAAATCGGCTTACATAATTCCTAAATGTAGTTTACTGTTCCCCTTTAGCTACACGAAGACAAATATAATACGTAACGTACTACAAATAAAATGTCGCCATTGCAACCACTTGTGTCAATAAAGGCATACTACGGACGTGTATGGATCTTTTAATATCTTTGATCGGATCGTCCTACGTTTTGGATAGTAGAGAGTTTGCTCGATGTTTCCTCAAGTATCTCGTCGGTGAGGCTATTTCGCTTGAACTGTTACCTAAGCACCTATAGATTCTTTCTTGCTTCGAGAAACTTGTATGAAAGCCGAACATTAGATTTTTTATATTGTAGGTAACGCCATTTCTTCGCAATGTAGGTAAACGAGCGAAGGATTAGAGAAAATTCGACATGGCCATCAGTACCCCTAGCACGAACTATTATCGAATTCGAATAGTTTGCGATGCGAAATCTCAATGTCAAATTTTATATGGAAACTTGAACAGCAGCGCCATAAAGTACGTAACGAGAACTTCAAATCAGTACACATTTGACAATGACATTTCGGACTCGCAAATGTTACGAATTCGATATTGGTTCGGGCAAAGGTAGTATAATGGTCAGCGCATTCGCCCGGATAGCGAAGGGTGCGGGTTCGAGTCACGTTTGATGCCTGGTGCGCGTGGAATTTTAACTAGTAAAATTTTCTTTAGTAACTATAAGATTTTGTGATGAGTGAAATATTACTTTCGGACTCGAGTTCCAAGTTAATAAGTAGGTCGGTGAATGCTAGGCAATTTGGATGGACATCGTCGTTGTATCGGTGATCGAAATTAATGATCTAAAGTCGCATGAACCCGTCGACTAGTCGGCATTAAGATTGGTACATGAATGATTTGAAAGCGGACAAATTGAATTATAGTTACCTAGTGACTGCCCGCGATTTCGTCTGCGTGGAAAAAATAGTTTCATACAGTCTGAAGAGGTCAAGGGTGACTCATTTCTGAGATGAAAATGTCCGTTCTTGGGCTCAAACTACATCTACTTATACCAAATTTCAGCTAAATCGGTTCAGCGGAAGAGGTCACAGACAGACAGAGAGACACACTTCTCATTTATAATAATAGTATGGATGAGTATCAGAATATTGATTATTCTATAAGCTGTGCAAATTAAATAGGTTTTGGCCTCAGTGATTTCATGGGGATATAAAGATTAAACATTGTTTGTGATTGTTAACTGTATAATTAATTTCTAACAAGTTTTAAAAACATTTTTAGTATGAAAGCTCTATGTGCAAAATTTAAGTATGTATTCAGCTGGGCGCTAATTACATTTAACATTAGACTTTAACTCAATCTTTCAAAAACGTCCTAGCTAGCGCTACCGCAGTCTTACAAAGCATTTGTAAAAACCACAGAACACAGAGAAAGGTTAGAAGGGTGTTCAAAGACCGTTTGTACGGGAACCGATGTCGCCGGCTAATAGCCAATCAAACGACGCGACATCAAACAGTCGAACCAATCGGCGCTCACACCCGAGAGCAACGACGCAACCAGAAGCAAGTTTTGGTCAAGTTATGAGCATTTGCTCACACATAACTGGCGCGCCTGCTCCGCTCACAAGGGCCATCTAACCTCTCTCTGTGTTCTATGGTACAAACGGTACTCGTATTTTTTTGTCCTATAATAATTGTCACTAGAATCAGATTATTAACTTAAATACCTACCTATTGGTTTTAGTGTCAAAAACCCATCAAGGTCTTGTGGCAATTGTTATTCAGTTCACTAGCAAAGGTCTAGGTCTATTAGGTATGATTGACAATGGTGACAATTGCCGTACGATCATTGTATTCGCACCGACTAAGATAAGATTGCTTTTTAATGGTGTAGTACAGTCAATCTGTCGAAAAAAATATCGTTTCAGTGAAAAAAAAACCTAAAGGGTAAGTCTTGTGTTTACTGTTGCCAAATAACGTCAGTAAGCCACCTTGGCGATGGGCATATTCAACTCGTAGGCGTTTTTTGAAAAACAAAAAAACCGTCGAAAATTTTTTGAAACGCATTTTTCTTGTTTTGTATGCATTTTAGAAACTTGTTTTTCGACCATAGTTGTAGAGAGCGTTAAGTGCTACAATTTATGTAATTGTTGCAATCTCGTACAACAAAAAATGCGCATTGTAGGTGACGCTAAAGTCTCAAAAAAAGTGTTTTTTCACTTTTTCACCCTGAAAATATCATTTTAATGGAAAACTTTAAATGGCAACGTTATTTCGTACATAATTACCAACAATTTTTGTATAAACAATTTTTTTATATTACTTACCGTTTTCAAGTTATAAATTGCGCAGGTATGAAAAATCCAATAGAGCTGTTTTGGGCAGTTCAAGTACACATTTGCAGTGCTCATTTCAATGTACGTTTTTCTATTTTTTATTTTTTTCATGATTGAAAAACAAAAAAAAATAGTTTTATATTTATATTTTTCATTATTGAAAAAAAATTGTAAAAACGTACATTGAAATGTGCACTGCAAATGTGTACTTGAACTACCCAAAACCTCTCTATTGGATTTTTCATACCTGCGCAATTTATAACTTGAAAACGGTAAGTAATACAAAAAAAATGTTTATACAAAAGTTGTTGATAATTATGTACGAAATAACTTTGCCATTTAAAGTTTTCCATTAAAATAATATTTTCAGGGTGAAAAAGTGAAAAAACACCTTTTTTGAGACTTTAGCGCCACCTACAATGCGCAGTTTTTGTTGTACGAGATTGCAACAATGACATAAATTGTAGCACTCAACGCCCTCTACAATTGTGGTCGAAAAACAAGTTTCTAAAATGCATACAAAACAAGAAAAATGCGTTTCAAAAAATTTTTGACGGTTTTTTTGAGTTTTTCAAAAAACGCCTACGAGTTGAACATGCCCATCGCCAAGATGGCTTACTGACGTCATTTGGCAACAGAAAAAACAAGACTTACCCTTTAGGTTTTTTTTTCACCACTCAACCTACAGATTGACTGTACTAGTGTCAGGAACAGATGAATGACCATAAAAATGGTTTTCTTCCTGAAATTCCCATGGTAACAGAGAATCCACACGGTAATAAAAAAAATGCGGCAACGTACGTGTATTGTATGGCCATTTTTACCGTCCAATCCAGAATAAAAATTAATTTGACAATCTTTTGTAAAATATGTCAATAAGTACGTATACAATGCTATACAATATCATAATATCTATCTACCTGTCGTTGTTGTGCAATAATGCCGTAACACTCGAATTCATGTAGACTTATATTAGGTCATTGACAACAGCGTTGAACTGTTTAATTAACACATGAGTAGTTTCTATTCTTGGATGTTCTGTTCTGTCCTATTATTTATTATGTGATAATGTCTATGGAATAATTAGAGGCATTCACGAAAGCGAAAGCATATTGATCAATCAAAATCCATCTATCCAACAATCGATTTAGAAGTATTATCTCATTTCTATTAGTTGATAATCGAATAGATTAATAGAATTCGGTCATCAGAAACTAGGTCTAGAAGAAAATCTAATCGCTGTTGGTTGTGAAACGAATAACGGATTTATCAGTGAAAACTCTTTAAATCTTTAAATTGAATGTACTTTTGTTAATGTGGCAACAAATACAACCTGGTTGATTGGGAACTGTTTAAATAATAAAACTTGGTTGATTGGAAACTGTTTTTATTCTGTTGAGGAGTTTATGGGTTTATGTAAAAGACTACAGGAATCTGCTATTTTCTTTGCCCCTTTTTTCTGACGGCTTATAGATAGTGCACTTTTATTTTTAGGTATTTACAAAATTTATATGCCAGTTTCTGGTGAATTGTGCGTGTCTCAACAAATAATGTAACACCTTTTGTTCCACTTTTCTTGCAAATAAATAAATATCTAATTCGTTGAGAAACAGAATTATGCTGTCTGTAAAATCTCAACTGTCAACTTAAAGTTCATGAGATACAGCCCGCTAGCAACTGACTGAAACGATGTGAATGACATACGGACGGACAACGAACGACGAAGACCGGGTTCCGTTATCAACAGCAGTTGTGTTGGGCTAACGTGTGTAAACTTTTTATGACGAAAATCTCATGCGCCAGGCTGCGAGTTATTCATGGTTGTCCTCGGTCCAATGCAACTTGTATAATAACTAAAATTGTTTCGTTATTCGGTTTTGAATGCCAACACAGATTCTGCTTGCGTCAGCGGAATAAAAATTATTCTGGCAGTTCCGGTAGATTGTGTTTGTTTAACAAACACTCGTTGGTTTTGTGTTTGTTTTGTAATATTGTTATTATATATGTTTCCAAACTTCAATCGCACAATGTTTATGCAAGCAAACGAGCTGACAGTCCACCTGATGGAAAGTGGTCACTGCCACCTAGGGCTTCCAACTTTATTTCTATCAAATATAGTATTTTCGAAGCGTTACGTCTAAAAATATAGTAGCTGGCAAAAAAATGGAAAAGAATAAAGTATGCGGTTAAAATATTTATTTTATTTTTGAAATAAATATATTTTTGCTGCTCTTTGCCTTACGAAAAATATATAATAATAATTTCTATCATTTTTTAAGAAAGCTGTTACTGTCAAAAATATGCTTAAGGCAAAGTATAGTACTTTAATGTAGAAATATAGTATTTGATCCCCTTATATAGTAGGATACTATATTATATATTGGGGTTGCTAACCCCACTGCCACCCATAGACAATTGTAGAAACAAGGGTATCACTTATACGTTGCCGGCTCTAAATTAGGAGGCGGATCGGTAAATGTCACATAATTGTCACTGATTTATTTAACAATATTTATTTTCCTGTTTCAGAGATTCACACAATACTTAGCGTCGAGTAATTCAACGTTTCAACTAAGTAATTTCTTAGATAAAAGCGGAGTACAAGGTATGTATTTTTTTATTTATAACATTGAATATAGTGTACTTAATTTTGGCATGAATACCATTAAAACTTAATTTACGGTATATCCTTATCATGGTTTATATATAAATAATGCAGTGAGGACACTGCTATCAAATACAGATTTTAAGTTGATTCACGCTAGAATTAAGCCCAATAATATACATACTAATTTAAAGATGAAAGATAGTGCTGCAAAAGAAATATCATTTTTATATCACCTCATTTACAAATCCAAAGAACATATAGTAACATTGGTAACGTGCGGTACGCTCATCAAATATACACTAGAACTCATCTTTGTATTAAAATATTTGCATATGTAAACACCTACAATTGTCACAAATACAAAAAGTACAAGCTATTTCGTCTGAAGTTTGTTCCGGTGCGTGCGGTTTACAGAATCCGTGACTTGTTCTACGCAAAAAATTACTTACTTCTCAGTAAGTGATTGTTACTTTTCTGAGAATTATTATTTATTATAGTAAAAATATAAAACGTATCTATTCTTTTTAACATCCTATAAAATAATAAACGGTTATGTCACTAAATAAAGAAAAAAAAAACATACTAAATTTTTAAAGAATTTAAGAAAAACTGAAACCTCATTCTCAGCATATAAATTAGTTTGACGTATATCCTAACCCACGAAGGGATAAAAGGCGTGAATGTAACGTAAAGTACATACGTAAATCGATAATAATCTATAAATAAATACGATGCTTAACGATGTCAAATCCACGACTAAGATTGCGGATATCGGAACGTATTCTACGTATATGGAACTAAGTAACAAGTTATTAAACGCGGCAATGGAGAGTTCATAAATAGAACTCGGAACGTCACTAGGTACTAACTATTACGTGGCAAAGTAATCACCATGCTTTTACGGTAATGACTGGTATAGTGCTCAGTTGGTTATGGAATTAGCAATTACTGCTAACATCAGTATATATGAAAACTATATACAACGTAGCAGTTGCCTGGGGGCGACATACAATACGCCCAGAGGAAACCAGATCTGTAAAAGCCAGAAACGTTCTGAGCCTCTTGGAAGCTGTCGAGCTACAAGAGATGCTTTAACTTGGTGGCGACTCGCAATAGATCTTTACAGATTCGCAGTGAGTACAAATCCATTAGGACTACATAGCCCCAAAAATCAGAAATAATAATAATACAGAAGAGCACCATGAAAAAACAAAAAGCATTTTGTGGTGTGGTGTTTCTGTTACTAACTAACAGAAGCAGAACTTCTAGGCTTAACGGGGTAGAAGATTTGGTTCAGACCTGCAAGGTGAGGTTACTGGAGCGGTGTTTTTGTCTCATCATCATCATCAGCCTATTAATGTCCCCACTGCTGGGGCACAGGCCTTTCCTATGGATGGAATAGGGAGATAGGGCCATGCCATGACAGTTCAAACTACAGAGTAAATGTATTTGTCTACCGCAACATATTCATTGTTATATATAAGATTTGAGTGCGTGAGACCACAATCGCACTATGACTCAAATAATACCTGAAATGAAATTATACTTTATTCATAATTAACTTATTAAAAGATCTTTTGAATCATCCAAAATTTTTTCCTACCACCCATTCAGGACATCTTTTAGCTGATGAGAAGAATGGGTGCAAGAAAATCATCAGCATTTAACAGAAGCAGCAACATTTACAAAAAAATGAAGTCGCTACCAATAGCCCAATCACATTTTGATTGCTATGTTATACAGTATAAATACAAACAGTGTTCATATTGGGTATAATGGATACCATCTAAATCTAGCCTTGAAGATCCAACAATACTTACTTCAAACTAGACCTGCCACTGAAGTTCGATACGTGTTTCATTTTAAGCATAGAATGCCTATACAATGAACCCCATATATCGAGCAATAGAGTCCATTATGTAATTTCACTAAAATGAATAAGTCGCCATCACTAGACGGTGCTGCTGCCAAAGGATTTTGGCGTCGTTCTAGTAGTCCATTTATTATGAAAGAATGTACGAGCACTTACATGGAGATGTATTACTAGCTTGCCAGTGCTATTTAAGGTAAATACAACACCAGAGGTTGAGATTTATGTTTGTATGAATAATCTTATATAAGTAAATAAAAATAAATCGTGATAAAAAATGGATGCGACCAAAACTCATAGCTGATTTTTTGATTTTATTTTGATGCCCTAGACTTTCGACCCTTTATAAAGAAAGGGCTCAGGTATGGTGGAAGTACTTTACAAGGTGCACGGCTGCCCTCTTATGTTATTCTGCCGCTTTCGAGTGAATCCTAAAATCCCCATTTGGGCTCCCCTACTACAGCGGCATAAATAAAATACTTTAACCAAGTCATCTTCACGAAAAAAAGGCCGGTGTTAGATGTAGCAACACTACACTTTGTCTATGTTCGCTCTCTTCCATCGTTGTTGCTGCTACGTTCGCATCGTCGATTTGTTTGTTAATAAAAATTAAAACCGACCAAGCATTCTCCTTTCGCGATTTTACAAGTCCTGAAAGCCGGTACCAAGTTTGCCGTGTCAGCTAGCAAGTTATAAATAAAATCAATATTTATAACTTGCTAGCAAGCTAGAACAATATTATTCAATTTGTCAAAATATTCTACAAGGATGTCGTGTGTGTGATTGTAAAATAAGTTACCACACCTAGACCCGTGGATGAATTTTGTTGCCCACGTTGAACTAAGAATCTTAATTATCACTGGTTATCAAACGGTTTCTTAGAAGAAAAGCCTCTTTAAAGTCTTATATAATATCCTTTAAAGTTTTGGCATTTGGCGGTCACGGATTGTCACACATCGTGACGTAGCCATAGCACACACGCGCGTTGGTCGAGTAGGCATTGACCGCTGACCTCAGGGTTCGACGACTCCACGCGGCCTCGTCCTGGTCGCTCTGATTTATGTGTGCTCGAGAACAGCCTCATAATTGTATGATCATTGTACTGAAAAAGAGATTGTTCCGAAAATTAGGTGTCCAAAAAGTTTTGTCTACATGTATTTTACTGTCGAACAGTGTGTACTCTGTGATTTTCACAACGCATCTTGCATCTAACAATTTCTACATACCGTTCGCACCACGAATCACTTAACCCGACCTAGGGTTGCCAGAACGAAAAGTCATAATATCTGGATAAGATTTTAAAATTTCGGGATTTTGTGTCTCTGTCCCCCCCAATGTGTCTTTCATGTTCGTTTATCGGGAGTTTTCGTTACTTGTCTGGATCACATCAAATATCGGGACCATCTGAAAACCCTTACCCCACCTGATGTCAACTGTGAGATAAGACCAGTTGTGAAACTAAGCGAAAGAAAATTGCAAAGAGGGTCTCTAAACTGCATCCTTAGGCAGAGCTGCTTTTTTATCTATTGAAGCCGTGCCCTGCCCATATTGCCGTGCAGGTTTTGTTTACAAATCAAGATAATGCATGCTCTGTTAAAACAACAGTACCGAAAATTGGACCGGATATTGGCGGTATTGTAATTATCGCCATACTCCGTGGAAGTCTTAACTTACTCCAGGAACTCGACACTATAGAGTTAGTTGGCTGCAATAGTTTTAAGCTGGAGGTTGGGTTACTTCTCGAGACCGTCTACTGCGTTCTCTGAGGGCTATTTTTTTAATTCTATGATAAGATTATTCGTTATAATTATATATCGGATCGGAATATAGGGACCAAAATATTAAAAATGTTTAGTCAGTCACGTAATTCAATATTTTGGTTTTTTGTTAGTTGGGTAAATTATAAATTTAACTGACTGACAGGATTTATACAAGAAAAACTTAAAAACATTTGGTGTCGGTGCCACGCTAACCGCTTGGGTTAGCCGCAGCAAATGGTTACTCAGATCCATCAACATGCCTAAATAAAGCAATATATCCTACGACAAGTTCAGTTCCTCATTCCCGAAGTCTATGATCAGATCATGAAAATGTTCCTAAGTTAGCGCCTCGGGAGTAATGTCATTGCGATAACAAAAACATTATTTTGAAAATCGGCCCTAAATTTGAATTACTCCTGGCAAGAGGACGCAGTCAATTGTTCCAGCACATTACTTTATAAAACTACAGAGAAAATGTAATGGATTCGTCGTTAGAGAAGGACTTCATACGATCAACTAGTTCAAATTGGTGACGTACTCACACAATAAGGGCCGCGCTACTGACAAGTACCAAAACACAACTGTTGATTGATGGATGTGGAAGGAGCAAAAGGGGTGTGCTAGAACCGTAGCGAGTGAAGATCAATTGTAGGGACAATCGGAGGCAAGTGCCTAATCCTCTGGGAAACAAAAATGACCTATATGGACGTATAAGTTTCATTGACTTGAAAAATATTTCGGTTCTTTAGAAATGGGTAAAGTTTAACCTTTTAAAGCGGAAGTTATACTGATAAAGAAAGAAGTTTAAAGAGAATATGCAGAGTTTGTAGAACCTCACCATAAGACAGACACAAATATACATTGCATATGTGTTTTTTTAATACTCCATTGCCGCCGCACCGAAATCTAGATAGATGGAAATTAGTTGTTAGTTTCTTTCTGGAATATTAAAGTGAGAGTGCATTTTGTATTTAGAACAAGTTACGAGAAGGTAACAACAGGAGTGATTCATAGTTGCTCGACACTTGTGTTTTCAAAGTACATTCTGTTTGGTCTTGTTACTAAGCATTGTGTAACGTACACGCTCACATATTTAGTTTTAGCCGATTTAGTCATAAAGCAACACGTACGCGGCCAGGGGAGTCAGCCAGACGCAGCTTTTCCACGTGTCAAAGTATTTGCACAATAGGCTATTTAACAGTATGAAAAATAAAATGTATAAATTTTTGGCATCTGTATTTAATACGAATATCAGCAGCGATTTTACTATTTTGGAAGGACAAATAAATTAATAACTTTACTATAAAATCATTAAATAGAAATGATTTTTTTGCTCCATTGTCACGTGACCGGAAACGCTTGGGATTGGCCAAGACTAAAATGACGTCACAGGCTAGTATACTTCCATTGCAAAATGACATTACATTGTATCGTCTGACGTATTAATGACAATCGTGTGACGTCACACACTTGTGAGATGTCATATGTCCAGAGAAACGTTTTTAGGGCAACTTGAAAATTTGATTTTTAATTTAGTTTTTTTTACTGAATTAATAGAGTTAAAAGTATCCACTTTTTATGGACTCCATAAAAAATTGTAAATAACATGAGTTAGACAAATATCCTATTGTTGCATAATAATGTAGAAATATTAGTGCAACATCCAAGACGATATATTATGTCGATCGGTAATGCAATAGTGTCGTAATTACAGTTCCGTTTTTAATGGTGTTTGCACATAAAAAAACAGCACTTTTATGCAAATTCCCCTCTCACGAAATTGCGAGAACGATTTGAATATTATGTAGTAAAATATTCGTATGGCTACTCCCTTTCGGGTCGCGTCTGTAAGCTGCTCTATGGATTTAGTAAACCAGTCTAGCCCGCCGATACGTCTAGCCTTCCAGTACTTAAGAACATAAAATGAGTCATTTCATCAAATACAATGGCACTTTAGGATAGTCGCACTAACCAAGTCTAATTCAAAAGCTCCTTTAACAATTCACGCCCCTCATTTTACCAACATATGTTTCGGTACAATATTAGGAATTGAATAAATGATAGAAACATGAGTCACATTTTTTTTTGTAAATTATATATTATTCGTAAGTAGGTTAAGGTGATTTGGATTTAAATTTTGGACATAAGGTAGTTTTTAAGTAGTTGCAATTTATTTTTTATTCTTCTATCGACCATATTTACATTTTATCATCTAACAAATATTAGATTACAACACAAACAAATCAATGAACACATTTTCCATGTCAATATTATTAAAAAAAGGTGATAAACGATTTTATTCCAAACTTTCATTTGCAGCATTACTTTATCTAAGGCATTAAAACAATTGAATTGTTAATTTTAACGATTAAATTGTAGCGATAAGAGCTCTCCGATTTGTCGGTATGGGCGATAAAATTATGATACACGACACGACGCTACAATGTTGTTGTGTATGGAAACCAGTATTGGTGATAGTGACAGATATTATAATATTAATTGTTGTAATCTGCGGTACAGTGTTTTAAATATTACTTTTTTAATCAACGAAGAGACATTAATTATAGCTAAATGGTGTATGAAATGATTTATAAAACCGAAATAGTAGTCTAAACACAAGATAATTAAGAAAACATTTTAATATCAATGTATGTTGTTGTGTCATTTTATATGAATTCTTCTAAGTTAGACTTTAATATTATCATCTCTAAAGAATTTATCAGCGGCAACTTGAAACATTATATTATTTAACAACACTTACAAAAGCGTTGTTAATAATATAATGTTTCAAGTATACAAAACGATACCCAACAATAAACTTCATCCTCTTGTTTCGGTTTGATTGATTTAGGAGGTTTAATTAAGACAGAATCACTTTATGGCCAATTTGTTTTAGGGCAGATTTTTATTGTACACTGCCATCTGCTGATAAATTTACATTCGTCTTTTTGTGGGTATAAAAATAGTTACTACTTGTTCCTTTTAGAATTTCGTTTGCGCGCTATTACAACGAGATGCAAATTTTAACAAGTCTGATGTCTCTACAATACAATTAGTCTTTACGATTTTAAACTTTAATGCTAAGCATCAATCGGCTCAGACGTGTAATATTACGCATTGATTAACTTAACCCCTTGTAGTGTAACCGTTAATTTACGCCGGCTACGTGAGTCATGTCTTGTGGCATTCCCCTGATTCAAATGTGAGACTGCAGACGGTGACGTCACTCCACCCTATGCACAGACGTGCAGTACACTTTGACTTTAGTGACCTAGGACTAAGGAGTCGTTAAACTGCTTAATGAAACTGTGGGGAATTGATAAGTAACACGTTGTTTGGCTTCTTAGTATGGTAGTAAAATTACAAAAAGTTTTTTGTAAGTTTAAATGATTTTTTTTTTTCATTTTACTTGAACGCTAATTTTGATGATAGCACTATTATTAACATATTTTGAATTGAAATATTTGAATACATAATTATTGAAATTGCAATGTGAACCAATTCCTCTTTTACGATTGCCTGGATTTGAGTGGGTATTAAAAAGTTATGAATACAATAGTTTTTGTTAGGCACGAGAGGTCCTTAATCTGATTTGATTATGATATTACTTTAAATATAAACAGTTATAGTTTTCGAACCACACGAACACCTTTTTCCACATTGTTATAATCACGCAGGCTGAGGCGACTCTTACGTAACACTTTATACATTTTCTACGGTTGCAATAATCAATGAGCTGTAAATAACTAGCGTGCTATCCAGATTCAGTTCAAGGCCGCACGTATTTTCTGGATCCTCGAACATTAGGAATATACTAGCAAACCAGTGAACCAAATGTTCACCAAAACCTGATTTCTCGAAAACCGGAAGTGCTACGTTACTCAAATCCGGTTTGTAGTCTTATCAGACTATTCTTAACTTATAACTTAAATATTCTTTTTATCTATCTCTTACGGTTTGGCCGCTGAAACAGCACCACAGACAGACGGACGGACTTGTCTAATAGATAAGAGATTCCATAATTAATTGCTAACGTGCCCACAACTCGGCATAGCCCTTTTTAAATGAATTAGGTAGGTATACTTACAAGAGGTTATCGAACTTTATGAGTCGAGAAGATGTAGCAACAATTTTATGAATGATTAGTAAACATCACTTATCTTTTTATCTTTAAATAGGAATTTTGATATTGTTATTGTTATAGGTTATAAACCTCTACGATGAGTCAAGAAAGATAAGAAATAGATACCATGAGTTAAAAGAGGTAGTAGAATGAAGTGGGTTTCTGCTTGAGTTAAATCTCCAGCCTGGTGAAAAGACCTACTGCAGAATCTTAGTATCTTAATAACTACAAAATCCACGATTTTGTCATAAATTTACAAAAGCAATGTTATTCACACAAAATATCCAGAGCGCGTATTGAAATAGTTTGATAAGTGTTAGGGCAGTGTTAATACACAATTTTTTGAAACTAAAGGTAATTAATTGTACTGCACCTATACAACGAAAGGAACACTTAAGTACTAAAATATTTCGCAATGTTGTGAACATCACTACTGGTTTCCGTCCACACAATAGCATTAGTAGAAATATATTAGCATGGTTTGCAAACATTATGTATCAGTATGAGATTCTTCTAGCAAATTACTTTGAAAAACAACTGAACGTCTATCTTCTATGAAATTACTTTGTATAGAACAATTGAGCGTCTAGGAGTTCTGGTTTTACCCTGTATATTTGTGTACCAAAAGCACTTCTTTGATTGTTTTCTCTTTCTCCATTGCTTACCCTGAAAGGAGCGGCCGGTGCCCGAATTGGTGAGTGAAAGAATTTATCTAAGTGTGTTCTTTTGTCTGTAGTGTTGTTGTACACGCACGCTTTTGGAGATTTGGTTGCAACCTCTTTGTTGAGACTCGCACGAGCTTTTATGTACAGACTGTATGGACTGTAAGCTGTCTTTTTTTAGGATAAGGTATGGAAAAGCTGTTGTAAGTGAAATGGTGCTTTAGTAACCAAATTTGTTTAGAATGAGAATTTAAAAGAAAACGACCTTAAACATAATTTGAGATCGATTTTTTTCAAATGCAAATCCAGTCTGAATTTATCTGATGACAAATTGATGCATTGCTTTTTACATACTTGCATCTTTCTTTAGAAGGGAAAAGGTTGCAAAATTCGAACGAAGTCGATGAATGTCATCTTTCTGACCACAGATAACGTAACTTTCTCGCTCTACTTATATGGAGAATGAGATTTTTGATGTCATAAATTATTCTCAGTTAACGTAATAAATAATCAAGTCTCAAATGGGGTTTCAATAGCATTGCTTTTTGACGAAGTTCTTGTTACTAAAACACAAAATATCTAATAAATACAAAGATCAAATCAGTAATAAAATATATTTTTGATTTTGTCTCTTAGTAGCATTCAAAAAGTAATACTTTACATCAGGCGGGGTAGAGGCTACTTAAAAAAACATCAAATTGAAAAACATCATTAAAAAACGATTATTACGTTAACTTAGTAGATTGCACACCCTATGTTTAAAAAAAAGGAATGATTGTTAGCAAAATGCCAAGACGCTCATAGATTCGATTATTTTCTTACTATGGGTTGACGAGGGTTATGAGATCAAGGAAGAACTATATTAGATCAAGAGAAACAAAATAAAACTAGTCATGATGCAAATATTTTTCAAAACGTTGCTATATTCGTAATGTTGTACTTCCTTATAAGGTTAACAACTTTATGTTGTAAGTTTAAGAAATTTATGGCATCTTTGAAAGCGTTATTGCTGTTAATCGATGTACGATTTGGTATTATAGCATTGGCATTTGATAAAATGTCTAATCTTGATTCATATAGTTGCCAAAAGGTTGATAATTCTGAAATTCGAGAAATGCTTGACCTGCTTGGGTGTTCATTTATTTAACTGACGCATTTGTTTATTATAGTTCAATATAAGAGGAAAATTAATTTGTTTATTTCTCAATTGTAGGCGTTTATATACTCGCCGTATCGTTTTTAGGATACGGTATCACAAGGAAATGCGACACAGACGAATTTGGTTAGAATTGTACTTTTAATTATTTCAATAACCTATTGAAAATTAGATGATTCACTTAGTTTAATTTTGTTTAACTTATTTTTGTAATTGGTTTTGCTTTTTGTCCTAGTTTGTTATATTTCGTGCTTATGTTGTTTTGTTAAATAGTCTTGTTTGTTGTATCATAGACTTGATTGCAGTCGTTTTAAGTTTATACTTACCAGTGCAGTAATGTGAAAATCCGCAACTCGCTCTTTATGATGGTCATAAAATTTTATTGATTTTCCCATTTTTACGGTACATGTTATAGTCACGTCATTGAATATGTGACGCTTTCATAATGATTATAGCATTTTTGTTTTATAATTTTGGACTTCTCAGCCAAATAAATATTCATTTTGGTTAAGGCTTTATTTGCTTGTTAGATTATAGCAAGAAGCTTATATACAACACTGGAGATTGCAGTGCAAACAATACCTTGAAGTGAAAAAATATGGCCTTGAATGACGTCACATATGTTTGTTATCTCTTTCTAAGGGTGACCATGTTGGAATATACGTTTAGGATACATACTTACTGGTATCGTCTTTAAACAATTTATAAATCAAAGCGTTGGAGTTGATAGGAACTTGGGAACACATTATTTAATAGTAATAAAATTCACAAGTACAAAAATCGTTTTATTCATATTAGATGCGTCTTATATTATGCCATGTCAAAAACATTTATAAAGAAATTAACGAGAAAGAATATGCAAACCCTTTTTAAAATCGCCAGAAATGCCTTATACTAAGAACGGACTAGAATCTCTAAGCTACATATTTTGGCTGATAAATAAAATTGACCTTTTAATGGTATTGTTACGTGTCGGGATGGGGTTCGAAATTATATGCCAGTTCACGATTGACAGTTCTTTATTCACCACACAGTTCACACAATTAACACACAATGTTAATTACAAAACACTCACTAAACACTGTATTTCACTATACAAGTCTCTAAACAATCTCACTTGAACACTTTTGTTGCACTTTGATCGCCTTTGGATTCGCTCCGAAATCGCTGTTGAAACTCAACTGTCTCTGCGCGGCGCCAATCGCCCTTATATACGCCGATCGATGCATTCTAGAAAGTAAATAAATAAATAAATATTTCCAACACTCACACCAATTAGCCTAGCCCCAAAGTAAGTACTATAAGGCTTGTGTTATGGGATACTAGGGTAACGGATAGAATACATAAACTGTACTTATATATATAAGTATATTTTTTTTTATAGAAATACATATTAAACATCCATGATTGGAGTACAAATGCTCGTATTCATCACACAAACATCTGTCCCCACCGGGATTTGAACCCGGGACCTCTCGAGTCGGCGACACCATGAAACCCGGCGTACAAACCACTCGACCACGGAGGTCGTCGAAAGTCGAAGTTCTAGAAAGTACCTGTTAAATTGAGAATTACCTAGCACCCGCGAGTACGAAATACCTACTTATACCTAAGCAAGTAACACGCATAACTTGTAAAGAAGTGCAGATATCGTTGCACTTTCTCCTTTACGTCGCACTGCATAAGGCTCATTTTAGAATAAGCCGCCTTACTCGACTTCTATTGCGACCCGCGGTGCTCTGGCTAATTCGATCTCTAGCACATTCGCGGTTCCGTTTCGAGAGCGTTTGTGACAGTATAATGGACAACCAAGAATTTCTTTTAATGATATCTTTCGGGAAGCTGAAACATAAACAAAGGTATAAGACCGCTGCTAGATAGCTGTTATTAAATAGGTTTTCGACAACATGATCTACTACAGTATTTATTATAAACTTATTTTCATATTTTGAACTTTATAATTACTATTTACAATAATACTTATGTATTTTAACTTTCTCAAAATATCTCAAGTGTAGTGATAATGGTTACCCTACAAAACCAAAATTTATATTATTTTAATTTAATAAACTGCTGAATATGGTACCAAATGTAGTGAATAAAACAAGAATAACGTTAATTTATAGCCTCAGGACACTATGATTTATAAATACTAACGTTTTATTATGATTACAACATAAAAATATAGGAATATGTTTATTTCGGTATTGGCGTAATGTAATAGACTTACCTGTGAAATTTAGTGCTGGAATTTGGTTCCCAAACACTTCTGCAATCTCACACAACACAATACATATTATAAATAGCAAATTGAACAATTTAACACTTTTTAATAATAATCTAAACATTCGAAGCGGTAGATTTTTTTTGACAGATCGGAGATATTCTTCAGTTGATTTTTTAATTAGTGTTGCTATTATACCAAAATGGTAGCAACCAGCAAACAGGGAAATAAAGGGCGTATTTATTATTTAGTTTTAAATATTGATTTCAAAGTAGTTGGTTAGAATTTGTCACACTCATCTTATAATAGTAATACAAGAGTAGGACTTCTGGAGATTGTAAAACTGATTGATATCTTGCATAGTTCTGTTTATTTTCACTTTCTGATTGGAATTTCTTGTATTTAACATGGTAATTTCAGATAGTGTGTGAGAGAGATAAAAAACATATCATGGGGTTAATGAACTCATCTTCACACAGAAGTTCTACATGCAATCTCCAGTGTTGTATATAAGCTTCTTGGATTATAGCAAAATATGCACAGCTTCCTTTTATCTGAAACGACCTTCATAAATCCAAATTTGAATTAAAATGAGATGTTTCAATATTTAACCGTTAATCACTGAATAGTATCTTTCATCAAAAACTTCATCGTATCCTTCGATCAAGTTTAGATTAGAGATGGGCCGGGCCGACTATAGTATTTGCCGACTAGTCGGCAATGCCGATCATTCTAATACCTATCTTAGGTAGGTGTTCGGAATATTTCGTCACTACTCGGCTTGCTAACGTACGACACGAGTTACGAGTTCCGAAAAGTGCGCAATATTGATGACGAGAAATCTAGTTCGGCTCACGAACTTCACTCTTACTGAGCATTGCCTGTCATAAAACGCAATGAAGACCCATCTATACTGTGGCACCTGAACAGTTCCAGATATCCTGAAATATCTCGTATCGCCAAAGTATACCTTTGTTGTCTCGCCAGTACTGTTCATAGCGAGCGTCTTTTCTCAGAAGCTGGCAACATCTATGAGACAAAAAGAAATCGCCTACTCCCAGATCGAGCCGAAACTTGACATTCCAACATCAAAACTTGCCTCTAATAAAAAAATAAATTTAAGGACTTTTTTAACACTCGCTAGCACTTAAGATTTTACTTAATTAATACTTAGGACCTACGATTGTTATTTTGTTATGAGCCATATTCATTATGCTAATTTAATTGAATTACTGAACGATTCCTAAGTTCCTCAATAATATTATGTTACCTTTTTTTTAAATATTTTAAGACTGTAACGTCTGTAACTTTAGATACATAGTCTAGGTATTGTTTATAAATTAAAAAACAAGCATAAATTGTTAGTTTTAGTTCATTTGTTTGTGCCGATTATGATCGGCATGTTTTGTCGAATAGTCGCCGACTAATCGCCGACTACAAACGATGCCGTCTTTCCCGACTAGTCGGCGGCTAGTCAGCCCATCTCTAGTTTAGATCGAAGATCTTATCGCATGTTCGCACTGCTTTGTACAAGGGCGCCCTAGATGTTTATTTTTATAAGTTTGAAACTTTATTTGTACTAAAGTGGGCGTTTATTAGTAATAATTAACTATAAATTCTGAAATTAATAGTTGGTGCGATAATTTTAATGAATATATTTTATTATTTTTGTACTAGTAGGTCATCAGTAGGTATGATATTATGAATTGCTGTTTTCTTGCAATGTAATATATTCTTATCAAGCATTCACTGCACCTTTTATTTTAATGACATTTGCTATTACCTATATAGGTACAGTCAACAATACATCAAGTTACCATGAATTTTCCAATCTTCAAATGATTGTAAATCTTGTATTAATTAGCTCAAAGCACAGAATCAGTTTTATTATTTTACAGTTTTGGGTAACTTAACCTTTGGCTGGCTGTACTTCTTAATCGAGTAGTTAGATAGCACAACACTATTAGATTATTTATTAGAGTAATGTGTTTTAAATTTAATGTCAGAATAAATATTGTCTCCAATGTTACAATCTATACTAATATTATAAAGAGGAAAGATTTGATTGTTTGTTTGTATTAGAACAAGAGCCCGTTAACCCCAGACCTACGTTGTTTTATAAAAGCTGAAAGTTTGTCAGCGCTTGCTCCCAACACAGGTAAGAACGATGGACCATTATGAAGTTTGGGTTACAGTGGCTTTGGCAGCTAAACGTCAAATAATAAAGTGCGATTTTTTTGGTATTTATTACCTTTAGAATATTATTAAAAATCACGTTATTCATTGCCAGATACTTGTTTAACATCGTGGCAACCCCTTGCCAGACACCCTTAATGTTCATGAAATTATAATTTTATTTACGTTATAGTACAAAAACTGATTTTTATAAATAAAATTAAAATGTGGTGTCGTGGGACACCAGGTAGGAACGAAGTTCCTTCGGCTAATGTAGAATCGACACAAATTGCAAACTCGCTTGTGTATGCGACTGTCGCGCCTGCGCACGTCTCATTTAACGGTTTTATTCCACGCACTTTTTTCCACGGATTTTTTCTTACGGTTTTACTATCACATTTTTTTCAGTTCGGTCGCGCAGCAAAATCCCTATCCCCTCCAAGCCTGCCATAAGGAACTTCGTTCCAATACTTGGGTAATAAGTAGATGATGTTTCCTCATTAGCCAGACACTTTGATAGTTCCAATCCTTTGCCAGACAAGCATGTAGGGTAGCTGTAGGAGAGCGCGAGGCAGTATGCATATCGGTGGGTGCGAGTGAGATAGCGAGTTAAGTCTACCGCGGTCCCTCACTGCGCAGTTGTTATTTGCTTCTGATAGTCTATGTAAATTTTAAAAATATTTTAAGAAAATACATTCGATGCAACAACTACCTTAAATTGTTTTTTTTTTAATTATTCTGTCAATAACAGGTTTAAAAAAAGCCAAATAGAATATTCCTCAAAAATTTAATGAAAAATTGGTTAATGATATTATAAGTTAACATAACAATTACATATTATTATAGAGTATTAAAGACAATATTATTTCATTCATTATGTGACAATGACAATATGACATTATTATTTCATTACCTGTGTTGGGAGCATGCACTGACAAACTTTCAGCTTTTATAAAATAACGTAGGTCTGGGGTTCACGGGCTCTTAGACTATATTGAATAGGCTCGAAACTACTGGACCGATTTGAAAAATTCTTTCGCATTTAGAATACTTCATTATCCCTAATGAACATAGGCTATAGAATATTTCCAAAAAGTTGGGTTCCGTATGAAAGATTCGATAACGTAACCCAGGGTGCGAAAAAAATACCAAATAATAAGCTTATATCACTTACGCTGCGGAAGTCATTGACAATAGAGCAAAGTGATGTACTAAAGTTTTATAGAGGATATAAATATCTACAAAAAAGTCTGCGATGGCATATGTCAACTATTACAGTTATGTCACACGGTTTCACCCGCGTTAATTTGAGGAAAAAAGGTTATAAAGTAAGTAAGTCAAACTTAAAAGATGGGCATATGCTGTCGCGGACTTTTTTTATAGAACTTTTAAAGGGGAACAATTCCGTCATACATGATTTTTGTGTAACTTGAATCATTTAAGCAATGCACGCAACATAATCTCCCAAATGGAATATTTTTAACCGTTATTACAACTTTTTACATCGATACTGCGCTCCTACTGGTTGCAGCATAATATTATTTAGCCTTAAGCCTTCCTTAATAAATGCACTATCTAACACAAAAAGATTTTTTCAAATCGGACGATTTGTTTTATTCCTGAGATACCTAATTTTGATTTGAACCAAAAAATAACAAAGTTATAGTGCATCAAAGTTTAGAGAGCGGCTCGTGACGTCACTTCTAAGTAAAAATTGCACTAAGACGTAACGTCATACAACATTTAAAAATCAATGTATGTCTGTTATGATGTCACTGAGAAAAATAAAGAAACTTGTACCATACTTTTTGATAATCTTAGATTTATCTTTTTGATGAATAACAAAAAAAGTTTGTCAATATCCCCATTACACACATCATACCGGTGGTTGAACATAGAAGCTTCACAATATGATTCCAAAAGGATTTCTAGTATATCACTGTAGGTACTTACATTGTGGTTTCTATGCTAGAAACCACATGAACCATAATTATATATCCTTAGTTGAATCTATTGTTTTTTTGTTCTCGAACAGGATATGATATGTCACCATTCATCCGGCGCTATGCCAAGTACCTCAATGAGAAGGCGCTGTCATACAGGACGGTCGCCTTCGATTTTTGCAAAGTGAAGAGGGGGTGAGTATATTTCTATATCTATTTCTTTAGGAGATTCATTAGGTGTTAGTAGATATTGTTCAAAATGATAAAATTGGCCCAAGCACGAACTTTGATAGTTCTGTAATCGTATCGCATCGTCAAAGTTTCTATGAAAACTAAGCAGGTTTCCTGCTGCCCTACTGCCCCGGACGTAAGAACAGACTGGCTCCTTCCAATCAAAATTAGACGATGACGATACGATTACGGGTTTGCCAAAGTTTGCGCTTGGGCCTCAGCTTACTTTCATTCTAAATTTTAACATAGAGATAAGGTGACCTTAGTAAAAGATATAGGATTACATTGGGGTCGACTGGCACGATTCTCTAAACTTAAAACTAAATTTAACATCAGTCTCTCCTTCTCATTCTGTGTAGAGAGAATGATAAGGATACACTGTTGTTAAATTTAAGTTTAGGTTTAGAGAATCACGTCAGGGTCGACACCAATATGTCTTAATAAAGTTTAAAGGGATTAAACTTTGAATGTGAAATTAAGCACCTACCAATAACTTAATGACGGCTATGAAGTTAGCGCAAGTCGCAGCGCTATTAAGTAATTGTAAAGCGATGTAAGCCCGCGACGGGATGTCACTGAACTGAAATCTGCACATAGTAGCGCTTGCTGCCAGCTGCACAGCTGCAATAAAGTTTGTATCGGCAGGCAAGGGGAGGATGGCTGGTGTGGCCGGTGGAACTGCTGCACCAGCTATCTTTGCGCCTGGGCTCGATCGCCACTCAACATCAGCATTAGTTTTTGACAGCTCCGTAACGTATGGTATCGTCAAAGTTATAATGAAAACTAGGCAGTGCCCCTGTCGGACGTAAGTGCAAACTAGCTTTTTTCTTACATAATTTGACGATTACCATACTTTACGGAGCTGTCAAAAACTCGTGCTGGGACCTCAGATGAGATGGAATCATTTGTCGGGCTTATTATTAAAAAAAAAGTCGTATTTCAACGTATGATAACTCATTGTTTAAACTTCCACATGACCAGAAAGGAGGAAGGCTCTCTCCGTATGATGAACGTTGAGAAGCTTCTAAAGACACTGCCGGTGCTGCAGGCGCAGCTGGACGCGTTACTGGAGTTCGACTGCACGGCCAACGACCTCACCAACGGGGTCATTAATATGTGCTTCATGCTACTATTCCGAGATCTCATCAGGTACATGTATTATCAGAAAGGAGGAAGAATGTTATGAACGTTGAGAAGCTGTTGTAGATGCAGCTTGTAGTTCGTCTGTACGGCCTACGACCTCACCAACGGGGTCATCAACATGTGCTTCATTTTACTATTACGAGTTCTCGTCAGGTACGTATTCTTCCACATCATCAGAAAGTAGGAAGGTGAAGACGCTGCCTGGAGTTCGACTGCACGGCCTACGACCTCAACAACGGGGTTATCAACATGTGCTTCATGCTACTGTTCTGAGATCACATCAGGTACGTATAATCATAATAAATAAACTGTCGTAGCTGGGGATATTTTATCGTATAGTTGAACTAACATTTATTCTATTAATTAAAAAAATCGAAGAACACTCGAATTTTAGGGTTGACAGAAAGTTTTTTAGGATGCACACTAAGTGATTTTTTTTGTGTAAAAATATTATTGGACCCAATGTTGATCCTTGGCGTATACGATTCCTTAATTGCTATAGAAATTGAAATTTAATTAACAGAATCCTATTTTGAGATTCTGTACCTTAAACAAACGAAAAACGTTTCAGAATAACATTAATAAATTAATAAATAGTTCAAGGCCCATTTGCACAAAAGTTTTTGAAAAGCTTATCATGTTTAAGCTGCAGTAATTTTGCTAAATCACACTTAAACTAGATTTAATCCATAGAAACTTCACAAAGCGTCAATGTTTATTTGTCATTTTTCTATAGGTTATAGCTAGTTTTAGTTAAATTGAAATTTATCAAAATTGCTGCATATGGACCCAAATCTAATTCTATCTTTATTTGACATTAAACAATTGACAAAGAAAAGAAGGTGTTGTAATAGTAAAAAATAAAATGGCGACAATTGTAATAATAAAAAATATTTCTTTTTTAAAGGGATAGGCCGAAATTAATTAAATTGAATACTCGGGCGCCAGACCTACCACACATATCACATTAGCCGGAAAAGCATTGAACTATTAATCGCAAAGGGGGTGAATGCAAATGCATACTCATTTTAGGTTGTCAATATATTGAAATTACTTTAAGTCCAAAAGAAACAAATTCTAAATTTAGAAACTATTTTATATTAAGATTCTACTAAGAATTATATAAAAAATTACCTTATTATGGGTTCTGGTACAACTATAAATTTTGAATGTTACCGACCTCGCTGCATCTATGTAGGTTGTGTCTGGTGTTGAAAATATTATATGTAAGAACGGCCGTTCTCACTGCTAATTACATCAGAGGTTTCGTTAATTTACCATGATGTTATTGAAATTTGAACTTAAAATAATAATAAAAAAACGCCTACGGCGTTTTATAAACACATTAAGCTTGGGACAAGGCTCGCCGCCATTAGCACGGCAAACAAATTTCTTATTTCATCAAGAAAGAATATTAATAATATGAATTACCAAGTAATTCATTTAGACTAGCGGCGAATCATACCGCTCCAGGAAAAATTACGTCGTGAAATGAAGTGACATTAGTTTTTTTCTTAAATTCGTTTTCTCTTTCCGGGTGGGCAAAGAAATCAACGCCCATACGGCTCACTGCTTGATTAAGGCAGAGACACACTTATTCAAAAGCGCACAGACCAATGAAAATGGACTTGAGATAAAAACCGAGCAGAGTGAGACAACCTAAAAAAGTCTTCTATCTCGCTCTTCGAACGAAGGAGATTCATGTAACGTTTTTAACACGTTACAATGTGTTAAACAAGATGCTTTAATTCGATGTAAGAATGTTGGTGCAAGTGGACCAAAGCTAAGTTTCAACTTCTTTAACTTCAACCATCTTACTTGCAGATTGTTCGCGTGCTACAACGACGGCATCATCAACCTCCTAGAGAAGTTCTTCGACATGAACAAGAAGAACTGTCGCGAGGCTCTCGACCTCTATAAGAAATTCCTCATTAGGATGGATAGGGTCGGCGAGTTCTTAAAGGTGAACTTTAGGTTTAACAGTTTTTCTATTTGTGATACCAGTGGGTGCGAGTGCTAGCTATATTTGATGGTAGTAGTGGATAATATTACTTTTTTATAAAGCCAGGTAGGCAAATAACTCTACCCCACCTGATGTTAAGTGGTGATAAAGTCCAGACGCGAAAGTAGCTGGTACAGCAGTTATAAACTGCCACACCAACCATCCTCACCTTGCCGGCCTGCAGTAATGCTTCTTCGCGCCTCTTAAAGGACCCCAGATTATTAGATATTAATTTCCCATACAAACTTTGAACCCCCGGTTTACCCCTTTAGGGGTTGAAAATCCTTTCTTAGCTCACGCCTACATCATAATAGCTATATGTGTGACAAATTTCAGCGCAATCCATTTAGTGGTTTGAGCTGCGCGATGATAGATCAGTCAACAACTCCTGCCTGTTATATATACAGAAGAGCGACTAGGCAGAGAATGAAGCAAGCTCCTCATAATACGACTTTAACCATTTCTTGATTCCTGTTATATATACGTTCGCGTTCTCATTCAGTAACTTATTATATCCTTGCGCCTTAAAGATTGCTTTCAATAGTCTCTCCTCGTGTCCGTATTAAGGAATGCTAGCCATTTAACATCATCTTGTTTGTGTCAACTTAAACGCCTACTAAAATATTATATTTGAAATTGACATTTGATGTTGCTTTTAATAAATGAGGACGAATTTTGGAGCCCAGTGCGGATTGATGGGTGCTTACGACCGCAACCACGCCCAACGACATGACGTGCCTTCCGAAGCACGGAGGAACTCTGGCTTCGTGATTTTTGGTCACCTATCGTATAACCAGTCATTGCAAAAGTAACTTAGTTTCCATGATCGCAGGCCGAATGCGCGAACCCCTTGCTTCAACGACCTTGAGGTCGAGAAAAGTGCCTATAATTATCATCATCATCATCATCATCAGCCAATAAATGTCGCCACTACTGGGCACAAGCCTACCCTATAGATGGGATAGGGAGATTGGGCCGTGATATGCATCCGATTATCCGATTTCTAATACAATGGTGTTTTTGTCATCAGGTGGCAGAGAACGTAGGTATAGACAAAGGCGATATTCCAGACCTGACGAAGGCGCCCAGTAGTCTTCTGGATGCCTTAGAAGGACATTTGGCCACACTGGAAGGCAAGAAAGGCTCCGCGGCTAACACTCCCACGCAGACTGCTAGGTAAATGTTTATTTTAAATTTTAGTAGTTACTTAAAACACAAAGGATCCACTCTTTTCTCCATACAACTCTGCCTAATTTTGTACCTTAAGTATTATCATGCATTTATATGTAGAAAAATACGTCGAATTCATCAAAAATATAAATGGCAATTTAAAATTATCCATTTGTACCACATAAAAATGTCATTCAAACATTAAAATTAATAGCAATACAGATAATATATTATGGTAAATTTGCATCTTTATGTTAATAACAACAGGTTCTGTGACTTCACGATTACAAGTCTATTTTTTATATATTTAACATTCGGACAGCTCAGACCATTCTCTATGCCATTTATTGACTTTCTTGACATTTGGACAAAGAACATCCATTTTTTATGTCTTTTACTGAAATTTAACTCTATTCCAGCGCCCAAAAGAACGTCGCCAGCGTTATGGGCGCATTATCCTCCACATCTTCATCGTTCGGCAACGCGGCCGCTTCTACCCGCCTCGACAATCAGCCCAACGGCGCTTCGCCGTTGTTTATAGATGACACGCTCAAACAGCAGGCGCTGGCTGAAGAGGAGGCCGCCATGAACCAGTACAAGGTCAGTGATCCTACATCACGCTAGAGAAATTTGGAGGCTAACACATTTAAACAGAGCCCGACCAACATCTACCACCCAGCTCGGTGAAGGATCTTCCCTTTTGGCTTTCCTACACCACCAATAAAGGTAGGATCTGCTGTAAAGAAGGCTTGAAAGCATTTCACGATTTAGGTACCAGGAATGCAGCCGATATAAGGAAGGAGACTTAATAAAATCAGCCCAACGGCTCCGCGTACGCACAAGCAGCGGACGCTGACTGAAGAGAAGGCCGCCAGGAACCATTATAAGGTCAGTGATCCTACATCACGCTAGAGAAATTTAGAGGATAACACATATATACAGGGCCCGACCAACATCGTTGGGGGTTGGCCAGGCCACACGCGACAGCCACAAACGCTGCCACGAGAAGCTGGAGGGGCTACAAAGGTAGCTGAAGCGCGCGACAGCCACTTGTGGCCGGTGGTCGACAGTTGCCGTCGGTGACTGCTACTTTTTTTAACAAATGTGTGCAGTATTATAATGGACTCTGACGAAGAAGGTTTGAAAGTGGGAAATCACGCGAGTGGCGTGTGGCGACTTTTTGTATCGGTGCATTAGTGGCCGGTGCGGGCCACAAGAAGCGAGCAACGACAATTTGTAGCGTGTGGCGGCCACCGGCGTTAACCGTGTGCGGCGAATCCATATTAGGGATGATCGATATTAGAAAAACATCGATGTTAACATCGAATCAAAAGTATCGATGTACGACAAATATCGATAGAAAAACATCGATGTTTATTCAACATCGATGAATATCGATCATCCCTAATCCATATAAAATGTATGAAAACTACAAAAAGTGGCGGCGTTTTGTGGTTGTGGCTGGTGGCCCGTGTGCGGCGACCCTTAGTCGTTTTTTTCTGTTTAATTTGCTATGTTTAATATGCTCGTGTCCATCTTCCGCAAAAATCTAACTATTCGAAGCACAACAACACTTTTTTATATTTTTGGTTGTTATTATAGAAGATATTTTCCTTGTTATAAAGAAAAGACTATTGTCCGCACTCACCATACCCATTAAGTTTGATACAAAAACGTTTACAGGTGCACTTATTGCAAGGCGAAGAATGGACGGGAGACGAAGCCGTGTCAGAAATAATTGTAAGATTTTATGTGGGAGGGTATATAATTTTGTACAAATCGGTGAAATAAAGAATGGGAATGCAGATGAACCTATTGGCCTTTAATGAAAGCACTTCATAAGATTATTCGTATTTGCTATTTGCAAACTTGACAGCAGTCTTTCCTTTTCTTTCCCTATAGAACATGTAAAGGAAAACCTGCTGACAAAATGACAAATAAAGATTACGAATACGTAGCCATATAAAGTTCTAGCATAAAACTATTGATATAATATTCGTAGAGTGCAAACTAGATATATAGTGTATATTGGGTGTGCAAATATTGCTCTTATTGCGTGGCAATAAAAGTTATGTCCAATTCTACCTTGTGTCCAAATTAATGACTGAAAAGGTTTTGAATACTCGAATAATCGCCATTTGTATTCTCATTCTTTAAATATTTAGAGGGTTGTGCTGTTCAAGATTTATATGTTTATATGTCGCTTAGGGAAACGTGATTTTATGCGCTTCATACTCATAGGAATATAGTGTCACTGAGTGCGTTTTTGTCACAGCTTATTATATGACAATATGTGTAAAGCTTTGTGTTTAGCTATAAGTTTAGTATCCACGGTTTTAAGGTCAACATTACATAACAACAACATCAGTTTTTGCTTTTTTCTCATTTATTAGTGTTACGAGATTTAGATATGATCAATACAAATGTACTCTATAAATTATCTCACTGCAGTTTATTCGCATTATGCACATTAATTTAGCAAATTTTAGTATTTGGACATTTACTGAAAATCATAAAAATAAAGGTTGAAACCTCTGTCCTGGCAGTCGAAGTATTGGTCCAACTGCTTAGGGATTGTTATGGTAATATCAAGAAAAAACTGAAATATTAAACCTCACATGAATTTCATATTTGTGTTATACATTATTTTAATATTACACAAATTATAACAGAAACCATAGTAGCTTCCAACATTTTTCAAACGGGCAATCGCATCAAAAATCATCAGGTGGAGGAGTATAGTTGTAAAGTGCTCGGCATTATCGCCCCTATCCTTTACAGAATAAGGTGCAGTCTCCCACAAACAGTGCGGCGAACAATCCCTTCTTGTCGAGCGCGCCGCCCGTCAGCCAATCGCAGAACATCGTGGATCTATTCGGTCCCGCGCCCGCGGAACCGGCTAATAATGCTAGCAAAGTGAGTTGTTGTTTTTTTATTATTTATTATTCAGCAAAAAAATTTGATTATATCTGTCAAACTGCAACGCAGTTTGTCGGCAGAGTTCTCGTAGAAACATTATCATATTTATAATCACCATACTATAATATAATGCATGTTAATTTTTCTATGAAAGAGAAGGAAAAAAAGAGAATGCAATCAACCATTTATTTTTCCTAATATCCCTTTGGTGATAATAAAGTAGGATGTTATTTCTATTATAATTATTATTGTGAAATTATATTACACATTATATTAAAAGAGATGTTGGGGCATAGCAGATTTTTCGCTCGAATTGGAGCGCCCGCCTGTGTAAGTAACCTCCATCTAACAGAAGACAACAGTAAAATAACACTACGTTTTGGTGGTGCTGTGTTTCTGTTGGTGAGTCAAGTTCCAGGGTTCCACGGGGTAGGGGATGGAGTCAGGGTAGGCAACAGAGCGAGTGCTATTTTTGATATCGCAAGTGTCTATAGGCTTTGGTGACCGCTTAATATCAGGATAACCATAAACTTATTGCCACCCTTTTTAACATAAAATATATATAGTTTGAATGAGTCCCCTTCTGCTACTACTGAAACTACATTATTTATTGTTCCCAAAGCCATGTGTGTTCTTTTATTTACGTTATGGTAGCCATACACACTACGAGAAATCGTTACGATCAGACTACAGTTCGAACGGAATAGTTTATCGTGGCGTACGTATAGGAAACTGTGCAGTTTTATAACATACACGCTACGATTTATCGGTACCGTTCGGACTGTACAGTCTAATCGTAACGATTTCTCGTAGTGTATATGGCCGTTAAAATAGCAAATTGTTTTTAATAAGGACACTTACTGAAATAGTTATTGAAAATACATCAAATAATAATCAAAACACCATATAATAACTTACTATTAATCTTAAACTGAATCTGCAAAATCCTCTAAATGTACTTTTTAAAAAACACGATTTTAGTCAAAATTACCGTTATGTTCTGGTGACATAGTACCTATATGTTGTGTGATAAAGTAAGCACTCCACTAAATCATCTAAATCGTTTCCCTAATATTTAAATGTATTTCTTTATTACTGAACGTATACATATATTAAGCTAATTATAATTTACAAACTTATATCTTTTTTTCAAGGCATCCGATGATCTCCTGTCATTGGGGAACCCATTTGCTGATATGTTCGGAGGTAAGTGTCTTGTAAATATTGCTTTGTACATATTGATAATAATAATTTATAGAAACACACATTTAAACTTGAAATAAAGGTGTACATTCTTTCTGTATTAGAAACAAATGGAAAATGTATCTAACAGTATGTAATTAACAAAACAAAAAACTAAGCAAATAATTGCTTTTTCTTACTTTGTAAAGTTTACTATCGGATGAGGTTTAATACGATCATTTGTCACAATTGTTTCTAACCACTAAATAAACAAATGGACTCTCCGTTTTACTTGCATTTTGTATAAAAAGTGCAAAATTAAAAGTGTTGCCAGTTGCCACTCTTTGGAACGATTTCTACTGTTCTAATATCAGTTTTGGCAAATGATGACATAATTTTATGCAATTTCTCTTTCAACCCCAACACTGAAAATACTTGCACTTCCCAAGCTTTTTGGGAATGGTGACTGCACAGTTATACTCTTCTACCCACTTAGATATCACGTTTAAGTGATAATACAGAATGACAATGCAGTACATGACAAACATGAACACAACATTAATTTATCATTATAAAACCTTTTACATGCTAACGCTTGAGTTAAAATAATTTAATTTGGAATTATCTAAGCTATAAAGCCAACATAATAGCGTACAATTACTAATAATAACACATATTGATGAAAGAAGAATATCGGCAATAGGTAGGCGATTATAATATAAACCAACCAAACAAAATTGCTACCGAGTATTGCTAGAAGGAAGCAATGCTCGTACTAGGATTTCCTTTAAGAATAATATGGTTAAAATATTATTTAACCTTAACTATACCGATATGTTGCGTCCGAAATTTTGGTCAAAACAGTTTATAGTAAGATTATATTTTAACAGTGAATATAATTTGAAACGAAGAAAGAAGAGAAAAAAGACACATTAACAGTAGACATTTAAATCTTGAAAAGTAAAATTACTCATTAGTCATCAACTTTAAAGATAGAATTTAGTCCCAAATTTCTATCACAATAGTACAGCAACTAAAAAAATAGTCCCTATTTCCCCCGTTATGGTACTGCATCGTGATTCACGTATGGCAACCCTTGTAGCGGCGCCGGCGCCGGCGCCCACAGCGCAGCCCGCGTGGCCGCAGCCGACCAACGGCTTCGCGGCGTTCCCGCAGCAGCCCGCCAACAACACATTCGTGTCCGACGCTAACTTCTCTAACGTTTTCAGTAACACTGACAGCACAGGTGAGGCGCTTCCCGCGTAGCACGAGGGGTCGCCATGCTTCGAGATTTTCTACTATTTTAGTAGTTTTTTCTTTTTCTTAGAAGAGATCGTAGGTTTTATGTGTAATTTTAATCGTGGTTTAAATGTGTTGATAAATTTAATTTGTATATATCAATAAGAAACTTCTTTTTACTAGAATTAAAGCATGGTAATTTAGTTTTCTAGATGCATTTTGGTATATGAAATTAAATTGTTCTTTACAAATAACATGGCGACTTCTCAAAACACTTTCTATTAATAATAATCTTAATAGTTATATGGTGATGGTACGGTAATGTAAATTGTGTATACAGTTTCTAATGTATGTACGTGTGTTATCCGCAAGCTGCCGCGGCTAACCCGTTCATGGGTATGGGAGATCCCCAACCCCCCGTCTCCGCGTCCCCGGCCCGTCCCCCTCCCCCCACCATCCCCCCACAACCCAAATCCGCCTTTGACGACCTCGAGGACGTAATGCGCATGTCCCTCGGGGGATCCCCCGCCAAACAATCCAACCAACCGATCACGCAGCAGCCCCAACCAATGGCGGCGCAGCCTTTCAGTGACGTCATGTCGATGCCGATGTCCCAGCCTATGATGTTTGGCTCCCCCGCGCGACAGCCGATGATGCCGATGGCGGCGATGGGTTCGAATTTTGAAATTTGAATAGATGGCAGTGTTTTTTTTTAGTGACGCTTGGTTTTTGTTATTTTTTTTTTTAATTTATCGTGTCTCAGTTTTGCACAGAGTTGATAGTTGCCATTATAGTTTTCACTGGTCTGCGTAGAAGTGAGTTTTGTTCTCATTCGGCTTTTAACATTTTATCCCTATTATTTTTAATGTGCCGTCCATAACATATGTACATAGTTAACTTTGATATTTAATATTTTTATTGTGTTTAAACCATCATGTACGGCATGGTGTCCCATTATTGACGTATATAAATCTATTTCTAGTTTTAAATCATCGCTCAACTTAAAACATAGCTTTACAGCACTCCTTGACATTTACATCATAAGTTTACATACTTTTCTACTAAAATTTAATTATTACTAAAATAACAAACTTTTCACTTTGAGCAATTTTATCTTTTAGTCAATTTAGATTTTTGTATTCACGTATGGCTTCTAAAAAAGTGAGCCAGTCTGTTTTTATAAAAAAATATTTTTTTTTGTCATGTCAGGAAATATTGGTCATACAAAAACTGATAGCCAGAACTGCGAATCTTACAAAGCATTTGTATATGAAAGAGTACGTACGTAGTATTAACAACGACGTCTACTTTTCTTTAACTATTAATTGTATACATGCGAAGAAAAAAGACTTATTAACGAAATTGCAACCTTACTCCTCCACTCATAAAGTATATTTTCGCAGGTCAACAATCGCAGCAGCAGCCCGGGAAAGTGCTCACAGGTGACCTGGACTCATCACTCGCTCAACTTGCAAACAATCTTACCATCAACAAAACGGCAACGCCACAAAAGTGAGTTTAGTTTGACATACCACTAATATTGTAAGTGCTATAAACTTTGTCACATTATAGTAAAATAATAAATTAATCATTTCTGAGTTACCATGTTGAAAATTTGCTGGATATTAAAGGTTTAATAAAACTAATGTTTAATATGCATTATTATTGTGTGACAAAATACACATTTTGAGAATAAGTATTCGCTTGAACTTTTTACTAGTAAACACACAATATCATCAATTTTTATTATTTATCTCTGAATAAAGTAGTTAGTTTCAGATAAAATGTAAATATTTTAATTCGAAAAATAAAATCCAATTGAGAATGTTTACAACAAGTTTCTAATCATGAGAAATTTCTAAAGTATTTTGGAAATGGTATGTATTTATATTTTTATCTGGAGATTTTCAGTTAATTGTCAAGTGAAGTTTGTCCGTCCGTGAAATGATTTAGTTTGCTAGTTCAATTTTTCTTATCATTATTCCATTTTTGAGCTGTTTTTCTCTACCATTTTATATAGCAAGTTAAAAACAGCTACACAATTTTGGGGGTACATACGGCAAATTTATTCTTGATATTATTTGGTGGTAAACGACACAGTTCATATAAAGGTTCTTCACTATAGATTAAAGTGATTGTAAAGAATTATTATATCTATCCGCCCCGCTCTAGTAAAGCTGGATTCGAGCTTTTCGTCTCACTTACACAATTGCAAAGCAAGCTATTGAAAAACGTGCTAGCAACTCTTAGCTTTCTCGCACGCACGTTTATTATTAGAAGCATTTGTCACATTGGGACTTTTATATATTGACAATTAAAAATAGTTTTTAAATTTTTGAGTCTTAAAATATTCTCCATACTAATTGGTCATTATGTTGGCGTTGGATTAAACAAAATTTTTCAACTTTCCAACGTGTTCTATTTTACCCCCCTTCCAAATTCTGCCTTCTACTCGGTTTTGGGTTCGAATCCCGGCAGGAGCATTTATTAAACAATGTATTGTAAACGTTATTTCCATAATTCACAGTCAATATGGCCATAGATAGTGCAAGTCCTGTTTAGTTTGGGTCTAAAAAAATTAATTCTTGCGAGGTGTCCGGAGTTATTACAAGTCTAGAACTGTGTCGCAATAACCAGGTACCTTATAAAAGTCAATTCAGCTGTCCGCAGCATATACTTTAGAAAACGGACTGAGCCTAACTGTAAAGTGAAGGCAAAAGTTATTCATGTTAAGAGAGAGATTTTTCATGTGTCTAATATCGGGCGGTTCGAGTAATCATCTCTACCTTTTTAGATTGTTATGTTCCAGTCGCTGATTAAGATTTTCAAGGGGGCAGTCGGCCGGCCTATACAAAGTGTCGTCTGTTATTTCTCTCTTTCTGTTTCGCTCAGTACGTTCTCTAAGTTTATATAACCCGCAATATCGCGTTCTCGCATTGCCGTATGGGCCCCCGCGGCATGACTGACCCTCGGGCGTGTGGTAGACCGATGCAGTGGAACTCGCCCAAGAACGCGTCCAAGCCCGGCGCCACCTGGACGCCGCAGCCCATGCAGGCCACCACCGGCGCCGGGTACCGGCCAATGGTAAGGAGACCACCGCACCACACTACAATATCTCTGTCTAGGAATACGGCACACTGCAATTTTAGGGCGGCCATCGCACCACACCACACTACATATTGTGTTCAATCTAGGGCGATTCAAATTTAATAGCGGGCAATGTATCTATCTAGGAGTACAGCGCACCACACTGCAATGTATCTAGTGTCATTCAAACTTTAGCGGTCATTATACCACGCTACATACTATGATCAATCCAGGGCGATTCAAACTTAATAACAGACACTATCTCTATCTACGAATACAGCGCACAACACTGCAATGTATCTAGTGCGATTCGAACTTGGGGGCGGTCATCACAAAACACCACACTATACACAATGATTAATCTAGGGCAATTCAAACTTAATAGCGAACAATATATCTATCTAGGAATACAGCGGAACACACTGCAATGTATCTAGTGCGATTCAAACTTTAGCGGTCATTAAACCACGCTACATACTATGATCAATTCAAACTTAATAACGTACTATATCTCTATCTAGGAATACAGCACACTACACAGCAATGTATCTAGTGCGATTCAAACTTTGGGGCGGTCATCACACCACACCACACTACACACTATGATGAATCGAGGGCGATTCAAACTTAATATCGGACACTGTATCTATCTAGGAATACAGCGCACCACACTGCAATGTACCTAGTGCGATTCAAACTTTAGCGGTCATTATACCACGCTACATACTATGATCAATCTAGGGCGATTCAAACTTAATAACGGACAATATCTCTATCTAGGAATACACCACACCACACTGCAATGTATCTAGTGCGATACTAACTTTAGACCGGTAATCACACCACACCACACTACACACTATGATGAATCTAGGGCGATTCAAACTTAATAGCGGACACTGCATCTATCTAGGAATACACCACACCACACTATACACAATGATAAATCATACGATTCAAACTTTAGGGCGGTCATCGCATCACATCACACTACACACTATGATGAATCTAGGGCGATTCAAACTTAATAGCGGCCAATATATCCATCTAGGAATAATATCGGACACTGTATCTATCTAGGAATACACCACACCACACTGCAATGTATCTAGTGCGATACTAACTTTAGACCGGTCGTCACACCACACCACACTACACACTATGATGAATCTAGGGCGATTCAAACTTAATAGCGGACACTGTATCTATTAAAATTACATATCATCACACCACACGACATTATGATTTACTGTACATTACAAACTTTAGGGCGGTGACCACAATAAACTACACTGCGATGTATCTAGGACGAATTTACAGTGCAATTCCAACTTTAGGGTGGCATCAGTACGTCACGCTACAAGCAAACTATGATGGTTCTGAAGTTAACAACGAGCGGCCTACTATATGGCGGGCGTAAAGTTAGCAACGAACGAACTACTTTATGACTTTTGTGAAATTAGCAACGAACGGACTACTTTATGATGAGTGTGAATTTAGCAACAAGCTGAATACTCTATGACGGTTCTAAAGTTAGCAACGGGAGGACTATTTTATGACTGGTGTGGAGTTAGCAACGAGCAGAATACTTAGGACTGGTGTGGATTTAGCAACGAGTGGACTGTTTCAATGTTCCGTAATATTGCATTCCGTCTACACCTCGTATTGCGCCATGCAGGCCACTACCCATACTACACTGTGAGTGGTTAAATTTTTGTTCTACGACAAATATTGACGAACTTATGACCAAATTACTAAACGAATTTTCGGCTGGCCGCGTGGTGTCTTTGACGTCACAGAGCTCTAGCGCTCAGGCGCGAGCGTACGTAGAGACGCTACTGAGCTCTGTGACATCACAAGTTTCGGCCGCCGGTGAATATTGGCTAACATAAAATTTGTTATAAAATCGCAACGAATGAACCGATTTCGATAATTTAAAAAGTATATTAATAAAAAAGCTTATTAGATCATTATAATGTACTGCACTGATTTTGAGTTGATTTGGTAACCTAGTAATGATACTCATTAATACCTTTTGTACCTATAGGGCGGTACAAACTTTGTAGATTACTACATACCACTCTGCCATGTGCCCAGGATTACGGCAAGCACAATCACACAGTACACTACAATGTATCTAGGACGATAGAAAATTTATTATGCGGTTGTGGAAGTTAGCAACGAGCTCATCTAAACGCAGCTCTCAGTTCAACAAAACGAAAAACTGAAAATAAAAAGCCGCCGTAAAGTTTGAAGCGCACCCTACCTACAGACAAACATACATCAAGTTACCACAAACGTGTCAAATTTTCTCAATATATTGTGAATTATATGTGAAACAAAGTAAAAGTCAAAGTTGTTTGGTATGAGAAATTCAACAATTTTGTTTATCCTGATGTGTCTGTCTGTACTTTTTCAATTATAACACAACCTGCACCATCTTCTCGCTAGGTTTAAAAGTACTAAAGGTTGCTTTATGAACGCGTAAAAAGGAATGTCTCCTTCTAAATTAATTTTAGGAGATTGAAACGCAACAGACCAGCCAAGAGTAAGGATTACACCGCAGTTAACTGTACCATTCCACTATACACACTAACTTCCCCTATCTCTTGACAGCTATAGAGAAGTAGGAGACGCTTTATGAACACAATCGTTTAAGAAATCTTAAGACAAAAACCACTAAACAAACACTTCAACTATTCCACTGATCTTAAGTCCCCGTTTCTAAAAGTTATAAATTATGCAAACAAAATATTATGTTCTACTGAGTTAAAAGATATTTTTTTTATATAGATTATCAATATCCTAAATCCCTGGATGTTTGTTTTCCTAATTTATGACTTTTCGTTAAGGGACTTTCCACTGTACTATTCCACTATGTACCCTACACCTACCCTGCATACTTCACGAGTGTTATAGCCAATAGGGGTGAGGGAGAGCTTCGGGCAGTGTTCACACCAAAGCGTATTATCTGGCTGAGCAAGCACACTAAAAGCCGACACAATGAAACATGGAGGTTAAGAGATAAGGAGAACGATCGCTGTAGAAAATAGTGTCCCAGAAATATGGACAAAATAAGTGAGGCGCTGCGATCGTTGTGTCAATAAAAGCAGCCCGCTTTTGACAACTTGAAATGACCAATGCCGCGAAGAAAATTTGTACAATATTCAACTAGCTTCATCGACTTGTAGTCATAAACAGCTAACTTCACAGATACTACTTACCGACGGCAGCGCGGCTGGTGGCTGAAAAATGAACTATAAATTATACAATTTTTCAGGACCAGGCTAATGCTTTAGTACATAGCGATCGTTCTCCTTCTCTCTAACATCCATGCAACGAAAACTCAAGACATGAAATTTAGTTTAAAACATGCAGACGATACGCCACTGGTGTGAACATAACTACACATAGCGTATGTAGTAGTGTTGTAGTACAAAACATCGCTCGCTAGGTTTTGGTGTGAACTAAAAGTTGAATTTCTGAACGCTGACAGCCACTGCGTAATATATTATGTGAACTGTCTCGTAGCCGTCGTTGGTAACTTAATTATTAAAATTATATTATTAGTGAAATAGGCCACAGTGCGTTCTCCCCATAAAAACATTTATCGACTTAGTGTTCTTCATTAGGGTATTCTGAACTCCACGGGGTAGGTTTTAGGGTAGCGAGAATTACGCTGTGGTGGCTGCTTCCATTTACCCTATTTCAAACCTTTACCGTGACTGTGTTTTGTGTAAATAATAAGTGGGGTAAAAGCTCCCTTACCCCTTCCTTACCCAAATAACGATCCCAACTGCGAAACGGATACAATAACATTAGATTTAACTTTGTTTCTATTTCAAGTCCTACCAATTCACAGAAAATCTGTAACTAAAGCTTTTGCAGAGAGTTTCTTACTATTAAAAACAATAATTTACCAAGAAGAATAATATTCCTAATAATAAAATTTATTAATAATCGTAAATTATTTTACATCCTTAACAGCTTAAAAAACCTAAGCAACAAATTAAAACCCATAATATTTACTAAGATTAATGAAGAATAGTAATTGGACCTTAACGCACATATCATATCGAATATTTTCAAGTACGTCGTTAGTGGTCAATATTTAACACTGCACAAAAGACCATGTTGTGATTTAAATTAAAACTTAACAGTGTAGCACAAACGTGGTAACATAAATGCTAGTAGTAACATATAATATATGTTGTATTCTTGAAACTCTCGTGCAATTTAATAGATGTGGCTCGAGTGAGCATAGACCGCCACACTTCTCTGTCCCGCTTTCTCTGTTGCATTATGCGATGTATAATTTTTTGCTAACTAGTTACCAACTATCTGTTGCGCTCTAAATACGTATCTTGCGCTAAGACTTAAAGCTCAGTTTCTTTTGCTAAGTATTTTTTAATTTTTATTTTTTTTAGTTTACTTGTGCATTATTTTTCTGTTTTCCCCGTAGCATGCCAGCATTGTTTTGCGTTTTTCAGGGTCCTGGCATGACTCTCCCGCCAATGCCTCACACTTTGCCCCATGCATTCCACCCTCCGCATTATGTTGTGGTAAGTTGCTGGTTATTTTTTTTTTTTGAATTTTTTTTCGCTTCATCTTTAGGTTTAGTTAGTTATACTTGGTTGGTTTACACCTGGCTTCGCTTTAGGATCCCATCCCATTTGATGTAGTTAATTTACTGTCACACATAATATTATACCTTTCACAAATCCTTCACGGTAAAAGGGGAGTTTTAGAGTTTAGTATCTGTCTACTCTATGGTTCTTAAGATTATACATACTGGTGTCGTCATAAAGGTAAAGTAATTGAATGAGATGTTGTGTGCATACCTTGTGCATGAGAGAATCATTGTTGCATGCCAGCAAATTCTGTGTGAGAGCAGCTCTTGGGTGTGATAATTATAGTCATTCATAGACATTTTAAACTCTTACGCTCTTATTCATAAAAATGAAAACAGTTTCATAAACCTGTTTTAGCTAAAACACTGTTTTGTCTCGTTCTTTCTTAGCACTGTCAATGCAATAGTTAAAACAGGTTTATTTAGCTGTTTTGATTTTTTATGAATAAGAGCATTACATCTATTTGTGTTATTCTCGAATAAAGAATGGTAATACAAAGGTCTATTTTGTATTGTTATGGGTACACTAGTTTTATTGTCTTTTTCAGATTTTAAATAATGCGATTCAATTTAGCCTAGCAATATTATCACTAAGTATTATTTTGTATCAACAAAACGCTATTGTATTACCTTTCTATTTATCAAATGCTAGCACTTCACATGGCCATTCCTAATTTCTATTTGTACATTTGACAGCAGTATATCCATGTCATGCTCTATAGAGAATGACAAGGAAAGACTGCTGTCAAACTAACAAATGGCAAATACGAATAGCCATGTGAAGCGCTAATTGAGAATTTCAGTGTGCAGTCACTTGTTTGCTCTCGAGTCTTGTCAGAAAGCACTTTACTCGACGACAAATAAGGAAGGCTGGTGTGGCAGGTAAAACTGTTGCACCAATTATCCTCGCGTCTGTACGCCTTTTAAAATCTTGTGATACGAAGCAATGTTTGGATTTATTTGAAAATGAGCCTTAATTTGAACCCGGTGACATTCCATTTTATTTTACCCCGGGATACTTGTTGAGCACCGACCATAGAAAAGCAATTCTGCATACAGAAACGCCTCCTGCGCAAGTTTATTTGACTGTGGTAATGCTCAATAAGTTTCCCGGCATGTATAAAATGGAATGTTACCGCGTTCATATTAAGGCTCATTTTTAAAAAAGTCCAAACATTGCTTCATATAACAAGATGTTAAAAGGCGGAAGTTCAGACGCGTTCACCTCACCACACCAGCCATCCTCGCATCTGTGCTCCGTCTGTTAACATCCTCTAAGTGTGGTTGATCCATATTAGGGTGTTTTTTTAAGAAAAATGTGTATTAATTTTAACGTGATAAAGTTCCATATGCATCGAAGTTCAGACCTTTTTGATGTGTAACATCTTTCCTCTTGCTTTCGTGCAATTTGTGGGAGTGATTATGTGAAGTGGGACGGAAGTATGTAACAGGAAGTTTGGGAAGCGCGCGCTATTTGATTTGATTTTAGAACATAATGTTCAAATGGCTTATTCCTTTTGTAGTAGGTTTTATTTCTTTTTTTACTAATATAAGGTGAGGTTTCAAATGTTACACATCATACGCGACTGCTGTAAGGCTCGCTCGTTTTTTTGAAGTGAAAACTTCTTTGGCGGCGTTGTACACTTTTTTTTGTATGGGTAAAAAATGTTAAACTCGCGTCAGGACATGTGGCCTGATCGCGTCAGGACACGTGACCTAATCGAAAATTCGTAAGATGAAAACAATAAAATTGGAAAGGTTGCTGACTTTCAATATATTGGACGAAACAGTAATATTTTATTTTATCGTATTATAATAATAAGTCTCTATCTAGGACGTCCAGGTGACAGCTTTATTGCGAAGCAAATGCATTATTTTACAATAGATGTCGCTAGGTGCGCTTAAATATTCCAAAATATCAAAGCACAGCGTTAATATTCAAGTTTTCACTTCTGCCGGCACTCCCGGAATACAACCCGTCGATTGTTTTTTAACAAAAAATGAGCCTTAATACGAACGCGGTAACGTTCAATTTGCAGCAACAGCCAGGCATGGTAATGGGGATGCCCGGTGCAGGCATGATGCCCATGGGCGTGGCGCCTCCTATGAGACCCGCGGTACCGCCACAGCCTACGACAAACCAGTTCAGTTAAACTAAAACATAAACAACACATACATACATACACAGCCCTGAAAAATCCCGACATATCTACATACCTGCCTATAATACTAACACGTTTAGCAATCAAGTTTAATGCATCTCTTATTGTATTGTTCACATTTTAAATTTTGTAAACAATAGTATTGCCATAAAAAACATTTTAAAATTGATTTAAGATTTTAATTTAAAAATTGCTAAATAATATTTCCCGTTTTGAATCGAACTAAAATTACAAGCAACAGAATGTAACTGTCGCACTAAATGTTTGATGTATTTGAGTCAGAATTATTTGTAATCTGCATAAATGGCAATATTTATCAAAGTTTTCAACTAAAACTTTTATAACTTGAAGGCGAACATTGTTATGTAGGCAGGTAACGGTGTATGCTTGCAACAGCGTCAGATTAACTTTGTAAAGAGTAAAAACAGTCGGGTCATGAAAGCAGTTTTTTCAAAGCTGATGTTTTCAAAGGTAGGTGCTTTTTATTCCTATAAAAAATCCTTATTTTAAATGAGTTACCTTAACTTTTGATAATAAGCCTACTAAACAAGCCCTTTTTTAGAACCTCTTATATAATTTATATTTCTATGTTAAACAATTATATGTCCGTCTTATTTATTATACATTTTAACATTTGTAATGTTAGTCAAAATTTGATGCGATTCTTAGAGTCCTTGCACTAGCTAGAGCATCAAAATGATAATCGCCATGATATATTTTTTTAATATAGGCTTATATAAGAAAACCGATAATCTAAATTCGTTTTAATTTACACATACATGATTAAATTAATATATAAAATGTATTTATTTCTCTGATTCGAGTAAAGGTCCACTTAACTTTATGAAAACAAAACAATAAATTGTTTAATGTTAAATTTTCTTATGAAAACGGTGCGTATTTATTATTGTAAATTTTCGTTTCAAAATTCAGTGTCGACATCACACATTCCATATTTTGTACAAAATAATTATTTATTCTTAGCTACAGGTTATGTGAATATTCATGATGTAGACTCGGATCAAATGAGAAAAACAATACACTCTTTTTTTCGGCAGTCGTGTAAAAAGTTATATTTGATCTGAGGATGTAGAATACTGCAGTAATGTTATTGTATTAGTAATCCTACCTTTAGGGCGAGCGGCGTCAGCATTTTGTGGTTTTGGAATTGACGTGAATATCTAGTTCTAACTTAAGTTGATTACAATCTAGTTACTGCGATAATCACATACCTATGTAATAGATGTATAATTAATATTACTTATTATATCTGATATATACATATAGGATGTGTGTAATGTATCTTGCATTTAGTCAATCGAATTGATGGGACTCTACCTATAAATGAATTATTTTAAATTTTGAAATTTCCTGGCGTCCCATATTCCTGTGCAAGATCATCTATATTCTGATAGAAAAGCACTTTGTAACCCTCTAAAGTACTTTTTCATATTTAAACAATATTATATTTCCATATCCTCACTTATTTTTATGTAAAAATGTATTTGTCATAGTTATGATATTGTACGGGAGTAATGCATTAGATTGTTAATTGAAATTAGGTGTTATGAGAGTGTAATGCATGGCTTATGTTAATGTTAAGAGGTGCTTAGCTTCTCTACAAGTGGCTCGTGAATGACTTTTCTTGATACCGGCACTTTACTTGGCTATTCGTGCTTGCTATTTGTAATGTTGACATCAGTCTGTCCTTTTCATTACTTCTAATGTTTGATAAAAACAGACTCTTGTCAAGTTTACAAATAACAAATACGAATATTCAAGTAAAGTGTTCGGCATCACATAACAGAATCGAGACAAAGCCACCTGGTTCGAGATAAAGTAACTAAGCGATTATAGAGCCATTGCCAAATGTTTGGGAATCTTGTGTATGAAAATTATTCTATATAATCTTTACTGTTACCTATCAGTAATACTTTGTGCAAATAGGTTTGCTTATAGCCGACTTAATATTTATTTCTTAATGTGATATACCATTTCATTTTGTAAGACTGTCATTTTCACAGTATTCAATGATGTTTTATTTAAAAATTATATTGTTATGCGAATTTATTTTTTATTATTTGCACAAAGTATTGTACTAATGTAGTGTTGCCATCATTAAAATGTGGTTTTATGAATTTTAAGATATTATGATTTATGTCTAGCGGCTCACACAGTGTTGCTGCACTATTATTCAAATTTATAGTGATTGTAATATTCACTGATCGTAAAATATATTGTGTAGATGTTTATGTACACATTTAGTATGATAAATGCGATTTAGTACAGTTTAAATTCTCGCAGCTCGACTAAATATTTTTGTAAATACTTATAAACGATTAGTGCATATAGCTGATATGTTAAATTGAAACTGTTACTTTTTGCTTATCAACAGACATTATGAGTAATTTGACAAAAGTGCATTGAACGAACTAATCTAGAACTTTAATCATCAATTTGAAATTTGTATTAACTAGCAGTTGTAAAATCATTCTAAAGTGACTTTTATATAATGTCGATAACAAGCACTATAAGAAGTATTTTGATTACCTTTTCGTGTTCTTTGAAAAATCAAATTAATGGTATATAATATCATTTTGGATTTAATAAAACACTCTTGAAGAATTTATGAAACACCCACGTAGATGAGCAACATATTGTGATGAAAAATCTTAAGTAACTATTCAATATTATTTACTATAGTCAAAGTTGACGAACCTTTAAGAGTGTTTTATTTAAAATAGTGTGCGCAGAAGATTAACATACAATTATCATCTTGTAACTTATTGAGATCTATTGATTTAGAAAAAAATCCAGTTATTTAATTACTAGTATTTATTGTGCAATATATTTTAATTATTTCCCTGGATCAATTGAATGAAATTGCTTCGGATGTATGTACCTAGACTTCGTTCCCAGTAACCTTTATAGTTGGCCATACTGTACTTTTCGATTTACGCTGTGATGAATGGTCGATTCGACTGATTTGATTTGAGATAATAGGGTATTCTTTTAGACTACTTAAGTTCTGTTTATTAAGTGAAAGTTTGTAGAAATACTTCACAATGATTTTCTTATAATACCATAGTCTGCTTTAAAATTTTTATGTTGTATATTTTATTTGATTTTTATCATTGTAAGGTAGCAATCAATATTTTTATGTAAATACCCCCCGCTGTCTTATTTACTAGCTCTATCACGCCTTTAGATATTTGATTTAGTTTATTTATGAAAGGAATAAACCAATTATAATTATTTTCGTTATTTTATTTATTTTCTTACATGTTGATTTTTTGCCAAAGCTTATTCCTAGGGTCCAGTGTTGCCTGCATGTCGCAATGTGTGTGTGTGTGCACACAACAGCTTTACAGTTTATACAAACCTGTCAAAATTTCTCAAATTATTTTCAACCTTGTTAGTTAGGCCCAAAGTCAAAAATCAGAATTCGGTTACTTTGGGTCAAACTTAACGAGCTGTTGGACCTTGCACCTCATCAGATCAGATGAACGAATATCCAGAATGTTACTTACTTATATATGATCGTTAGTACCTAAAATATTTCATTTAAGTACCTATATATTGTGAATGTCTATTTACCTCTCTTAATCCAATGACAATACTATCACAAACTAATTATATCGGCCTGTGTGTTATAATGACGTATTTATAAAACTTAAATATAAAATATAGATGCACATTCGATCTGTCTAATAAGGAAGAGTATCTTTATCAGAAAACACTTCCTGAGACATCTCTAAGCTAGCAGTATAATAATATTCTTATCACACAGTATTAAATAAAGTAGCACTATTTCATAGGTGTCTATCAGAGAACTATATATTGTATAGCTGTTAAAAATTAGCTGGAGATTAGACCATGCCTAAGGATACACTTGGGCTCATTGGCTTGTGTTAAGGATTATTCGCAATGCTCATATTTATTGGTGTTTAAAAATTTTGCGCACTTCATATCTATTCGCTGATGGAAATCAAGCCATCAAATCTTAACATATTCCCGATGAGCCAAATGCATTACCATTAGGTATATTATATAATTAATCAGAATAATAATATATTTTTGTTAGGAGTGGTCTGTTTTCTGCCTCGTAGTGGTTTTGAGGTCTATTTCTGTCCTTTTAGAAATTGTTTTGGTCAGAAAACACTCCTTTAAAAGCTTTCAAAGTGTATCTTGTTGGATCGCAAATAGTGGCGGTTGATTATTACAAATATAATAAAATAAATTTCATATTGTTGTTTTATTTTACACATTCGTGGGGTGTCTATTGAATTCTTTTGAACCACCAAACTTAAGGAGAAGCTGTTTTAACAAGCTCTTTCGCTTCACGTCGATCTTGCTGGTTTTTTAAAGAAATTTAATTATAATAAGATTTCACTATGGCGCAAGTGGTTAGCGCGTTCAGCTGCGATTGATGAAGATAAGCAAATTTCGGAGTGGTCGGTCATCGGAAGGCACGTTAAACCATTGGTCCCGGCTGCATCTGCAGTCGTTGTTATCCACCAATCCGCACTGGGCCCGCGTGGTGAGTCATGGCCACCGAACACAGGATGAGGATAGAAGGTTCAATATAGACCGTTTGTACGGGAACCGATGTCGCAGGCTCGCCCACACTACACTTCCAACTAAAAGATAACCAATCAAACGATGCGACATTAAACAATCGAACCAATCAGCGCTCACGCCCCAGAGCAACGACGCAATCGGAACCAAGTTTTGTTCAAGTTATGAAAATTTGCTCACACGTAACTTTGGCGCACCTGCCCCGCCCACTAGGCCCTTCTAACCTCTTTTGTGGTCATGGCCCAATCTTCCTACTTCATCCATAGGAAAGGTCCGAGTCCTAGCAGTAGGGACATTAATAAGCTGATAATGATGAATGTAACATGTAAGTGTAACGATATTCTAAGACCCAATCACAAACTATGTTAGATCCGTAATAGTATCGATAACATCAAATTCTGTATGAAAGTAACCAGTTTGTTCCCACATCCGGTAGGGGCGCTGCTAAGTTTTCATATTAACTGACGATGTGATACGATTGGCCTCTAAACTTCAACGCCGCTAGTATTTTAAATATAACATCACATCAGATTAAGTTTTACTATATACATAACAGTGCGTGATACCCACTTGTACTTGCTCCGTGATGGATCAAATACAATGAGGTGCTGTATTCATTCAATTCGTTATAGCATAGTTTCTAGCAACGTGGTACTAACGTAATACGCTTATAATTCCGGACACCATCAGAAGCGCTCAAGTTCAACCATGTATTGAACTTGCTTGGTTCCCTATTCGCTACTGCTTTTTTATGTTAAAAGGGCAAATAAGCTTTTAGCCCGCCTGATGGTAAGCGGCCAGCATAGCCTAGCTAAGCCTATACCAAAAATATCACTCGCTCCGTGAGCTCCTCCTTGTCATTTCATCCAACCCCAAAACCATTGCCTACCCTGACCCAATCCTCTACCCCGTGGAGCACTGGAACCTTAGTTACCGACAAAAACAACACTACCAAGTTATTGTCATTTTACTGTGATCTTCTGTAACGTGGAGATTACTTTCCCAGGCGAGAGCTCCAAATAGAGCGAAAAATCCGTTATGCTCTCTTTTAAAGTCTCTTGACGTTCATAATATGCACTGTCTGCGTCCTTCAGAGAGGCGTAGGGTGTTTTCACAGAAGCGGAGTTTGTAAAGCTAAGCGTTCACATTGGAGCTGCGCGTAATTCAGCTAAGTGGTGCTGAGTAAAGAGTTGAGTATTAACATTAGAGCTGCGCGAAGATAAGTGGTACAAAGCTAAGCTGTGTAACTGGCTGACGCTGACCCGAGCGGGGCTGTGAAGTAGAGTCGGAGTGGGGCAGACTGAAGTTGAGCTGTGAATTAATTTTATTTGCAGCTAAACCATTGAACAAACAGAACTCAATTGAAACATCGCACACTAAAATGGTGTTGGACCGGACATATTATGTTGAGAGAAAGGCAAGATAAATGGACCAGACCATAATGTTTTATAAGTTTAACAGCAAGGAAGGCTAATTTTATTTTATAATCCATTGAACAAAGCAATGTGTAGCTCCGCTAAACGCAGCCTAATGGCTTCCATGAGCGAAGGATTTCGTTATTGAATTCTTCGAGCTAACCCCACGTGTCAAATACAGAGAAGCGTACTTTCTAAGAAGTGTCTCTGACAGGGTCGGATTTAATGGTGTGGTATCAAAGGACTGGAGGCATCTTACGGGAGTATTTTAAATATGGATGGTCAGGGGTCACTTACGTTTTTTAGGAATTTAGGGGAAAAGCTACTTCAATAATTTTTTAGGGTGGCTAGAAGAGCCACAAGACCAAGTGTTGTGACTTTCTCACTGTGTTCGGATTTGGCCTCTTTTCATCAAAAAACGTAAAATAAACTTTATTTTGTAATAACACAAATATAGTTGTCCTGTTGTTTATCTAATACGCCCATTCCCCGTAGCATGAGCACCACAATTTTCATTATATCACGTTTTTTATAGCGTCTAACTGTCAAACTCCATAGTAATTTGACAATTGAGCGTGATAAAAACGCGTTTTATGCAGAGATGTAAAAGATACCCTAAAAAAGTATCTGAAATACAAGACACTAGATAGTCAAGTATTTAGATAACAGATACAAGATACCTTTGGAAAAAGTATTTAAATACAAGATAAATACCAAAAAAGTATTTGAAATACAAGATGAAAATACATATTTTGTATCTTGTATATGTATCTTAGATACGTTACAACACTGGTTATATATCATAACGCGGTGCTCATGCTAGGGGGGCAAGACTCATTCTCACATCCTACAACAAAAGATTAATTGTAATTAGCAGACATCGGAATATATGCACTAACAAAGTGCCAAAATAAACATGCAAATATGAATGCTCAAGGAAAATCAGAAGTACGACGCCAAAAATCTACTTCTTGTTTATGAACTAATGAACGCAGTCTTTCATATTATTTCCACGGGCAACACTGAATCAATCGATGACAGCGGCGGATTTTAGGTCGGCGCTGACGACATTTTGTTAATAATTGTAGATTTCTTCTAAATTATTAAGTATTTTGTTAGTGCTTAGTGTTAATTATTGCCACGAAGATGGCAGACAATGAGCAGAAAGCAATGCAGTTGATGGCGGAGGCCGAGAAAAAGTTAAACTCTTCAAAATCCTTCCTTGGATCACTTTTTGGGTAAGGACAATGTCTTGTGCAATTATTTGTTGATAGTCCCTAAAATGATTTCCTATGTTGTTTCTTTCAATTCCTCTGATCAGTTACAATTTTAATGAATCACTCCTAAGTTGACAAAACGTAATACTCATATTTTCCTGTCCTAGACATTACTACCAGCACAACTCAAAAATCCTTTCTTATTGAATCATATATTAATTAGGTAAAATAAATAAGCACGTTAAAAGAAATGATTGCTTCTCTAGTCAAGAAATGGGAAATAATCTGATTAGATTTCTTCACGAAATAATCTGTTAAAAGTATGTTAGAAAATATTGTCATGAATAATAAAAAAGGTTGAAATGCAAAATTAATTCTTTACCATCTTCCAGCAATTGATAACTTACTCATACATTCACTCCCAAGTTATCCTGGTGTTGAGATTTGAGGCTTGCTTACTCATTGATTGTAGTTTGACCCAATGACTTTCACTTTTATGCAGTTTTCTAAGAAACATATATGGCATTGTTTACATAGAGCTTGTCATATAAATATTATTGCTTCAAGTTGCTCTCTGCTATCTTAAAAAAACTTCTTACTTATATTACAAATAATAGTCAACTTCTGTGGAACCTACTAACCATTTTTGTAAATTCATAATGACAAATATATATGTAATATTAATGTATCTTTTTAATGTAAGTGAACTGTAAATCGTTCTTTTTGGAAATAAATGTCTTTTAACCAAGGTTTTTTATGAGTTCAAGACGCTGTCACAACTCGCTCAGTTTTGCAAGTTAAAAATGTCATTAATATTTTAATGTAACAAATTGGAAATTTTAACTTTGTTCCACAGTCTTCCTTTTATTATCTGAATGCTTTGTAATATTTTTTTCTTTTTAATTCTCTTGCTTTTGTGATTAATTGAATGTCCAAAGAAATTGAAAAAAAAAAATACTAAGTTTTGGAAAAAAAAAATTACAATGGACCTATTTCTCATGTAATTCTCTAAACTTATCTACCTATCCTATAATCTATCTTATCATGCTGTAAAGAGAGAGAGAGAAAAGAAGACACTGTTGTTGGGTATTACATTGATGTTCAAAGAATTATGTCAAAATGTCTATTGTACATGTAGCATAATGCACCTTTTAATTGTTCATTTACATAAGTGTTTTCACTGTATAGTTACTCAAATTAAGATTATTTTATACTCTTCCTATTAAGATATAACTTAGAAGTTTTTATAACTATGTCTATATGAGTTGGAAAGCACTATCTTTAATATGAAGTATAGCTGTGATGATAATATATTCTAACTAGGGATGCAAAGTCTTTTGAAATATTGATATTTATATCGAAGTCAGGCAAATATCGATATCCGATATATCGACCATTTTAACTCGATATATCGATATTTTTTTCTTTTTTTTGCTTTGTATTAAGTTTGCAAAGCAAAAACCTAAAATTAAGGAAGCAAAGGTTTCCGAAATATCGATATTTATAATGTGGGCAGGTAAATATCGATATCCGATCAGATATGTTAGCCATTCCAACATTTCCAACACGATATTTTCTATATTTTTTATAGCGCTGTAAGAAGTATCAAATCAAAAGCAATTTCGAATCAAAGATATTTATTTTGTTTAAAATATTTGCACGCAGCTAAAATCAGAATAGATAATCATATGAAAAACAATTGTTATGAATTAGTAAAACCTACACATCAGGCTTCAGAATAGGGTAAGCCCAAAGCTTCCAAAATTACTATACCTATCTTACTTTCTTGACTTGGCGAGCTTAAAAAATTTACGATTTGTATAAGATTCTTAATTTTATTTTGTGTTATATTACAATGATATTAAATTTCAATTAATCAGTAGTTGACAATTATCTAGAAAGAGAGGCAAGGATTTTATTTAAGTGCATGAGTTACCATTAGGTATACGATTATACCTATATACGTTGGTGTTGATTCTGGCATGATTATCTAAATTTAAAACTAAATTTAACATCAGTCTCTCCTTTTCATTCTGTATAGAGAATGACAAGGATACACTGTAGTCAAATTTAATTTTAGGTTTAGAGAAACATGCCAGAGTCCACACCAGTTTAGTATATTTCTTGGGGTTCAAGATTTTTTTAATACATCTATAAGCTCTTGCAATTTCAAAGCAATAGTTATTTCGATATTATTCAATTTAGATAGTCATAACAGGTAAATTAATTGATATTATTGTTTTCAAATTAAGTCTACGAAATATCGATATTTTGGAATTTCCGATATCGATATTATCGATATCAGTGAATTTTAAATATCGATATAAATATCGATATTTTGGTCTCGATATTATCGATAATATCGATATTCCGATATATCGTTGCAACCCTAATTCTAACATACAAGGCTCAGTTAATTACCCTGATGTTGAATTTGAGTATGCTGCACCAGCTATCTTCAAATTGCTACACTGAAAACAATACCCTTATTCATAGAGCTTAGGACACATTTCTCACTATTTTCCAGGTTGTGGGTCTTCCAAATTATATGATTTTTTATTAAAATGAAGAACCAGTTAGAAAATATATAACTTCATACCACATTATTCCTTTTGACTTTGATGTAACATGAGATAAAAGTTGCTTAATTTATTAAGCATTAAAATAGTTTTTTTTTATTATTTATATATATATTTTTCTAGTAAAAAGAATTCTTAGATATTTTTGTTAAAAAAACTTTAGATATAGAAGTATAGATCACACTCTCATAGCCACTCTTTAATGATGTTATATTTGACAATCGGTTGGGCCTGATTTTTCTGGCTCTGCTGGTCATAGGCCTCACCAATTGCACGCCAGTGAGATTGATCTTGGGCTACTTAATAAGTTAATCATACATTTTATGATATCTTTGTACAAACTAGAACATTTTAATCAGGGGCTCATCAAAACTGGAAGAGGCAGTAGACTGCTACCTCAGGGCTGCCAACCTATTCAAGATGGCCAAGAAGTGGGCCCAGGCGGGTAGTGCGTTTTGCAATGCCGCACAACTCCACTTAAAAGCTGGTATGCGACACGACGCAGCAACCAACTTCGTAGATGCCTCAAACTGTTATAAGAAATGTGAGCCTAATGGTAAGTTTTACTGGTTCTACAAAATAATATTGTTAAGATAATAATAAAGATACATCTCATAGATTTTGGGTTCTTTAAATTCAAAAGTTGACAAGATTAGCTTTCACTGTCTCTGTCTCGGAGGTCCTGGGTTTGATTCGAAGCGGCGTCAATATTGATGACAAACTTTTAGTAGAGTTTATTTATTTGAATTGGAAAAGGAACTGCTCATGTTTGTGATGTTGTCCAAATATACAGTGGTATTATATCGTATTCTCTGTACACTTGCCTTCTGTAGTGGCTAGTCAAGTGACAGTCTGACCAGAATCTTGTAGCTTTCCCTTTGCAAACTGTATCCTGAGTCCAAATGATGTGCTTTATTTTATAATAAAAAAAAACATACTTTATAATAGTCCCTTATGATTTAGACAGATTTATCAGTTACTTCAATAAATTAGCACAAAGAAGCTCTTCTTTGAGTTGTTAATTAAGGACAGTATAATTAGTGTAAAACATTACAAAATGAGCATTCTTAACTAGTTTTAAGCTTTATAGACTCCTTAAAAAAGGGTTTAAATAAAAATAAATGAAAACTATGACTGAATATTTGACCAAAGTTATTGTAACATTTTACAAAGACAACATAATTAATATTTAAGTAAATTATTTTGTGTTCTTTATACTGGTTGACTGTCCGTTTGGATAGTTGAATGTTTACTGAAAACATATCAATCAACTTATTTAACTTATACATAATAGTTGCTACTATAAGCGAATTGATTTCAATTGTATTGTTGTTAGTATTATCACACTTCTGTTATCCAATGAAGGTTGGATTCTAGTTGGAGTTTGTTATCGCAGCATAATGTTTAATTTGATAATAGCGATGATAATAAAGCCAAGTGCATGGTCAACATGCTAATCTCTCGTCTTATCAATTTGAAGGTTCAAGCCTTAATCGTGGTGATAAACAACTCTCATTTTTTTTTCTGCTGTTTCATATCTGAAGTGACGTTATGCTTTTTTTCTATGTAGTATTATTATGTAATCTAAGCACTGATAGTGAGTTTTTTACCTACCCTACATGTTATTTATGTATCTTGTATACATAAAATATAGAGTTTAAAAAGCGCCATGGGACGGTGCGGTATTATGTACTTCGTGGAAATTTTTTGCTAATCCATACTAATATTATAAATAGGAAAGTCTGTCTGTTACCTCATTACAATTAAACTGCTGATGTTGAATCGATACAGATGAAATTTGGTATAGAGATACTTAGTTCAAGTTAGTTCCGTGAATTGATTATTTGTGGAGGTGTAACAAGAGGATTCATTCCGTAAATAACTAGGGTTTGGGTCCCGGGACGTCTCATGTCTCAAGGTCCGAGACTTTTCGTAAATTAAGTTGCCTCGGGTCCCAAGACTTTCGGGTCAGAACTCGAGACGAGACACGATTGTCGAAATCGCACACGGAACCGTGCCGTCTCCTGCTTGGTCCTCGTGGAGATTTTTAACATTTTCTTTTATTTCATTATTCATTAAACTAACAGAGGTCGCTAGGCTCTTTCACTGATTTGAAAATAAAAATCATTTTAATACAATTTCGACAATCGTGTCTCGTCTCGAGTTCCAATCCGAAGACCCGAGACAACTATTGACAAAATTTCTTGGGACTTCGAGACACGAGACATCTCGGGACCCAAACCCTAGATAATATACATACTTATTTATTTTACAGAATGAACCCCTCTCAGTACCCCATAAAGAATGAATATTTTTATTTTTAAGCATTTAACTGCTCCTGTTGCTACTGCCTAGTCCACGTGTTTTTTTTTTATCTAGTAACATTTTCCTTAGATTAAACAATCTAGCAGTTAAATGCGTAAAAATAAAAATATAATAATAACTTGGTCTACTACGTAACTACTGAGTACACAACACAATAAATGCTTTTGCTGAGCTAACACGTTACTGGTGTGACGAAAACAAGTGAATCTGTTTTTTTTATTACAAGAAATAAAAATAAAAAAGAGGGAATATTGCCCACGCACTTTTTTGTCCGTCAAAATAGATCGCTTATTACTGCATCGAGTAACGCACAGGACGGATTAAAAGTACTGCGTACAAAAACTCCCCCGAAGGACACCGAGAGATCGGACTCGTGTTCCGGGACTAATATTATCGAATAGCCCTAAAAGTGAAGGAACAATAAAATATGTAGTTACATCAGTCTACGAAACTCGAGAAAAATCCTTTCAAGAAAAATATCTTCCAAGTTTGTCACGAAGTTTGTAATACTTATGAAATTTTCTATTACATATTTAATATTTTACCTACAGAGGCAGTATCGTGCTTGCTGAAAGCAATCGAGATCTACACAGACATGGGACGATTCACGGTAGCGGCTAAACAACATCAGGTATTAATTTGCTACGTACAGTACATCTGATGCTAATTTACATGCCTATTCGTATTTGATACTTGTTCATTTGACGACAGTATATCCTTATCATGTTCTATAGAATCGCCATACTCTCGGGGTTTCTTTACGCGATTGAATTAGAAATGATGAGATCCGCGGGAGACATAAGGTTGCCAACTTAGCCCAAGGAATTGCGAGCGTTTTAAATGGTAGTGTTTAGGGCAACAAGAAAACTATGAATAAAAACTATTTTTATATTTGACGGTATTGTACTATATCAATGGAATAATTTTTGACTGGGCATTGAACAATTAAGTCATAAAACAAGAAAGACATAGGTGAGAACTACTTTTCAAAGGTGTTGAAGCGTTTGCCCTAATCTTAAGTAAGTATTAGTATCAAATTACTGTAATATCCGATGTTCCAAAAGGAGCAATAAATAATACACAACTGCATGTTATTTTTATATTCTCATTCTAAGTGGACTGTATGTCTTTATGAGAAAAATAATTGATCTTTGAACCTAAATGATGAGATCCGCAGGAGACATAAGGCTGCCAACTTAGCTCAAAGAATTGCGAGCGTGTTTAGTGGCAGTGTTCAGATCAAATTGCAAGGAGGATTGACGGGGGATGGGGCGGAGCAGTCTTCGTTTTGCGGTTAAGTACCGGGACACGTAGCGTTGGTAAGCCCCCTACAAGGTGGACTGATGATCTGGTGAAGATCGCGCGGGAATCCGCTTGATGCCGGCAGCGCAGGACCGATCGCTTTGGAATTCCTTGGGGATGGCTAATGTGTTTCTTGGCTGATATGATGATGCTCTTACGGGAATGAAAAGGATCGACTGCTGTCATAAGGGATTTCTACTAAAACATCTAATGCGGATATCGTCTTATTAAACGGAAAAAAAAAATTAAAATGTTTCAAAGGACATCACCCACGTTCCATACATTTTTGGTCCAAATTTGAAAATGGCGACCGAGAAAAATAAGATATTCTGTTAGAACTTCTCGTATTTTTTTATTACTTATGGCACCAACACTGTGGGATCAATGTCCTCTGTTGTATTTGAGCTCAAAAATCTTTATTTTGTACGTTTTCTATGAATTGAATTTAAAATGAAAAAATGACTATAGTTTTTTTTTATTTTAAATATAACTATAATTACATTACACTAACATTATAACAGTAAAAACATTACGTTAGTTACCAGGTAACAGACGTTTACCGTAACCTGGAAGTTTGTAATCAAACTAAATCTTTTGTTTTGACAATTCTGTTACGAAAAATGTGTGCGACTTTTAATTCAAATAAAACTGAGGGCAATGGTTCCACAGTTTTGGTGCCATAATAAAAAAATTGGTTAAGGAAAACAAGTTCTAACAGCATATTGTATTTTTTTCCTTTAGCCGCTATTTTCGAATTTGGTCCAAAATGGGTAAAGCCCTTTATCACTAAACTTTTAACTTTGAATTAAGTAAGCGATGACGAATGGAAAAGACAACACTTGAATAACGCCTGCTTTATGGAAGGATTGTGAAATTATTATTGAACTAACAATCCCTCGCAATTTTACTGCAGTATTAAATCAATTTGAGTTTCTGAAACGAAGATTAGCAAACAATTCTAGAAACCCAAAATGGCGCTTGTAATTGTGTTGTTGTGTTATGTTGGTTAGGCTTTCAGCAACTATTGGCACAGATAGGATTTTTTTTAAAGGGAGACAGAACTAACGTTTATTACGACATTTGCAAAGATATTTTTCAGTTATTGTATTTATATTTTTAGGCGATTCAATGATAAAATTAAGTAACACACGATCATTAAATTAAAATTAAACATTTATAAATGCTAGAAACCGCCCGGATAGGGGAAGATGCTGGTTCGAATCTAGTCATATTTTTAAAAGATATTTTTCTTTTCTGGAATTTCAGAGAAGCTTCTAGGGTGAGCAATGTACTGGGTGTACAATTGCCAGCAACTCAATTGAAATTTTACATTAATGATGGTGTGTTAGTTAATTTTTTCCGTGTTCGTCTACAGATCCTTCTAAAATCTAACACAATCGTCTAGAACAAAAAGCATTTGTACACACACACAAACACACACACACAAACACACACATACACAAACACACATTCATGGAGGGATTTAGGAAAATTTACGCCACCAGTTGGTGCCACTGTGACATAAGGTCTTTTGTATGAAGCTTTTGGCGCGAATTAATCGGATGAGCATTTAAATTGCTCCATAGACAATCACGACATAGATGATTTGACGTTTGTTTGGACCGTTCCTCTCAGTGCTGTCACCTGGCGTCAGTCATTCCAAAAAACCCCATATTGATTGGAAAATTCTAAGGCCCCTGTTAACACGCCCAGAACATAGCGGATTTACGGATGCGTGGACTGTACGTCTCCTGCCACCTGGCGTCGGTCATTCCAAAACACCCCATTTGATTTGAAATTTCTAAGGCCCCTGTTAACACGCCCAGAACATAGCGGAACTATACGAGACCGAGTGCGTGGACCTAGCGCGCGCGATGCAACACTACGAGCAGGCGGCGGACTACTTCCGAGGCGAGGAGTCCACCTCTTCGGCCAACAAGTGTATGCTGAAGCTGGCCCAATACGCGGCCCAACTGGAACACTACGACAAGGCTATACAGATATACGAGCAGGTCAGTGATAGATAGATCATCATCATCATCAGCCTATTAATGTCCCCACTGCTGGGGCACAGGCTTTCCCTATGGATGGAATAGGGAGATTGGGCCATGACCCACCACGCGGGCCCAGTGCGGATTGGTGGGTGCTAACGACTGCAAATGCAGCCGGGACCAACGGCTTAACGTGCCTTCCGAAGCACGGAGGAGCTCGAGATAGTAAATTTTTGGTCACCCATCCAATGACCGACCACTGCGAAAGTTGCTTAACTTCAACGATCGCAGGCGAACGCGCTAGCCACCTGCGCCATCGAGCTCCTCGATACCATATAGATAGATATACAGTGTAAACTCCATGTGAGGCATTGTCCTAATACAACGCGATAACGCGATCATCGCGCGTTTAAACGATGCGACCATCGCGTGATCGCGAACTGGGTGCCCTAATAGAACGCGAATACGGAACGGGTTAGCCCTGCCCCTCTCCCCGCTTCCTATCGACGCGACGCGATCATCACGCGAACTTCAGTTAGGACACCTATCTCTTATCTATTAGACAAGTCCGTCCGTCTGTGGTGCTGTTTCAGCGGCCAAACCGTAAGAGATAGATAAAGAGAATATTTAAGTTATAAGTTAAGAATAGTCTGATAAGACTACAAACCGGATTTGAGTAACGTAGCACTTCCGGTTTTCGAGAAATCAGGAATTTCAAACGAAACCACACAAAATCTCCGAAGTTCTGAATTAATTAAATACATTTTGGTGAACATTTGGTTCACTGGTTTGCTAGTTCATCATTAATAGGTTTGATTGCGCGTTCGCGCGAACGAAGTTAGCGCCTATTAGGACACCTATTCTAGATCAATATGTTTGATCGTCGACTCGTACGATGATCGCATCGCTCATTCGCGTTATCGCGTTGTATTAGGACAATGTTAGGCATTGTCACGTCACTCGATTTAACGACAAACTCCCTAAAGCGTCGAAATCACTCTTCTTTGGTTGGTTTACTTTGTTTTCCATACAACGATACACTCTATATAGCATTACACGCACTCTCAATAACGACAACAATTAAGTAATAAGTTGCCAAAATTAGTGAAAATCGGGCAGCTGTGTACGTTCTTTTGTCGCTTTATTATCCTAGCCCGTAATAAACTCGACTGCCGGCATCATGCAAACCAAACTTTCTAAAAAATTCGTTCTTTTGTTTACAAATTGGGATTTGCACATGTAGACTGTTGTTTGACCGTGGCTAAAAAAATATATTACAACAAAATTACTGGTGCAGCAAAAGACGTCAGACAAAAATAACAGAATATACGCAATAGCGTTCAAATAAGTTTTTTTTTTATGTATTTAACTACTAGCTTGAAATAAACTTTTTGTAACTACTAGCTTGAAATAGACGTTTCCATTTAACGACAACTCTCTATAACGCCATAAAATGTACATTCTCTTTAGTGTCGTTATATAGAGTTTACACTGTATTTGAATCAAATACACTAACCACATAAGTATAAACAAAACATACAAAGTTACTGTTTGATCATGTCACTTGCAATGAGGATCATTACTAGGTTAGCAAATTGACTAAAAATTAACAGATTAATGATCTAATAAGCTTTTTAATTAATATACTTTTTAAATTATCGAAATCGGTTCATTCGTTGCGATTTTATAACTAATTTTATTGTAGCCAATATTCACCGGCGCCCGAAACTTGTGACGTCACAGAGCTCAGTAGCGTCTCTACGCACGCTCGTGCCTGAGCGCTAGAGCTCTGTGATGTCGCAGCTACCACGCGGCCAGCTGAAAATTCGTTTAGTAATTTGGTCATAACTTCGTTAATTTTTGTCGTAGAACAAAAATTTTACCACTGTATTTTATAGAATCCTTAGCTCTATAAATCTGCATTCTCAACCAAAATCGTTACGGATCCTCATTGCAATAGCCCTTAAATATCGGGGACATGGTAGCAAACCCGCTAATTGGGCATATGCATGTACATAATTCAAATAAGCCTCATTTTATTTTTATATGAACTCTTACATACTTTTAAGTTGTCCCTCTATTAATATGTATTTAATAAAATTGCTTTTGACGAAGATTTTAAAAGATATATAAAAGTGCGTTAACTTATCAATGTAAGAAAAGGCAGAAGGCATTACTCTACATTGGCAGGGAATCGGAGTTCAATAGCATGGAGTGAGAAATACTGAATGCTTTTTTGACGTTAGAACTTACAAGGAGAATTTACAAGCATACAATTTTACAAACATGGTATTTTATTTTTGATAAACGTAATTTACACGAACTTGTAAAAACACTTACAAAGTGTCACTTGTGAACGTGTAGACTTATAAATTTTGATAAACAGGGCTGTTTATAAAGATTTTTAAAGTTTTAGGTCACACAAATTTTTTTGATGAACAAAATCACGAATAGAAGCGTAAAAAATACTTGTGATATAAATAATGACACTCACTCGTAAGTTATATGTGTACGTTTGATAAACACGTACTTGTAATAATGATTCTTTTCAGGAAAATTGCTTGTAATACAAGTCTTTAAAAACTTTGATGTGTAGGTCACAGGTCAGTGAAATATTCAACAAGTTACGTATGTACTAAGTTTATTTTTATACCTATCAACAACGCGTTACAATGGCGAGAATTAGAATTTAGAACAAGAATTTATTTATTTGCATTTGAATAGGGTACTACACTGTCGATCTTTCAATTTTGTAGTTTGGCCCATTCAGCCGTTTAAAATAGCATGCAAATATTTGACATTATATATACATAGTATATGAAGGTTCAATATCAATAATGAATTTAAGTCAGACAGTCTTTATCCGGTCTTCGGTCAAAAAGTTCACTTCAGTTTAATATTTATTACGTAAGAATCTTAAGTATAAAATGTATACACGTTTGGTTTGTTTTAATGTTTATTTTTCAAAGTGACATTTTGTAGAACTGTTTATTTGTACTTCCATATTTACTAATAATTCTTTTTGGCAGTAATAAACGTTTGTTTCAATCATTCATCTTTACCTCTTACCACTGAAGCGGATGGCGCGGCTTCGTTGCCATGGAAATGGAAATCGTTTCCTTATACGCCTAACGTACATCAGTACTCACACGGTTGCCTTTCAAAGTACAATTTTAACTGTGCGCATTTTTCTGTACTTACGTAAGAACTATCGAGCCTCCCTCCCACTCTCCTCCCCCTCCGCCCTAAATCGTCTTACGTAATAAAGGATGGCTGGTGTTGCAGGTAGAACTGCTGCACCAGCTATCTTCACGTCAGTACTTCACCGTTACTTAACATCAGGTGGGGCGGAGTCATTTGTCGGACCTATCTATAAAAAAAAAAGTATAAATATATATTTGACAAGTTTAAGAAAACGATCTCACCTTATTTATTAATGTTTATGGAGTCTATAAAAAGGAGATATTTTTAATTCTGTTGTGTAATGCAGTGAAAAAAAAACTAAATTCAAAATCAAATCGTCAAGTTGCCATGAAAACCTTTCTCTGGACATTATGTTATCTCACTACTATGTGACGCCACACGGTTGTCATTAAAACGTTAAACGATACAATGTAATGTCACTTTGGCCGGAAGTATACTAGCGTGTGACGTCATTTTGATCTTGACCAATCCCAGGCGTTTTCAGTCACGAGACCATCGAGCAGAAAAATCATTACTATTTAATGATTTTAAAGAAAAGTTATCAATTATTTGTTCTGTCAGAATAGTAAAATCGCTGCTTATGTTCATATTAAATACAAATGGCAACAATTGGTACATCATTTTCCATACTGTCAAATAGCCTATTGAAGCCAGCCTATCAAAGTCGTTTATTCCATTGGCCAGATCGCCAAGTCGTCGCTGGACAACAGCCTGCTGAAGTACAGTGCAAAGGAGTACATGTTCCGCGCGGCGCTGTGCCACCTCTGCGTGGACATTCTCAACGCTCAACACGCGGTAGAGAAATACTGCGGACTGTACCCTGCCTTCGCGGACACTAGGGAGTACAAGCTTGTCAAGGTAAATATGCTTTACAACGCCTCCTTTGTCACATACATAATCATCAGCCTATTAATGTCACTCACAAAAGAGTAAACTTCCAAATCCCAAAATTTAATATGCAATAATGTTAGCGTATAACTTATCTATATAATATTATACATCAACGTCACAAACCATTTTACATAAATTTTTCATTTGGCAAAAATAATATTTGACAAACAACTTATCGCAATTTTCAGTTTAGAAACCACTTTTTATGCTCCTTCTTACCAAGTATATTTAATCAACTGTATCGTATAAGCATAACATTGGTGTCAATTCTGACATGATTCTCTAAACTTAAAACTAAATTTAACGTCAGTCTCTCTTTTTTATTCATCATAGAAAATGACAAGGATACGCTGTTGTCAAATTTATATTTGGGTTTAGAGAATCATGCCAGAATCGACACCATTGTTTTCCCAAAATATTTTCATTGTCTCTGGTTCGCTGTTGGGGTCGCTGTACTCGCCCAACCTAACTTACTTTAAGGCAGCAATTGGTTTCTGTATACTATTTACACATAATCTAACCTAGTTAACCTAAACTAACTTAATGTACTTAAATTTATTTAACATCAATTATTAATGAGTGCAAGTTTTGTTTCAGGAAGGATCCAAATATTGAAATAATGTAATGAAATATGTTTCGGCTATTTTTCCTTTTTTTACTTGTAATAATAATAAATAATATCGTATCGTTTGCCAAACTTAGGCTATAAGTTGAGTTCGTGAAGTGAGAATTTGAACAAATATTTATTTGGAATATAATAATAGCCAATATATAACGGTTGCATCATAAACATTTGACTAAATGAAGTTTGATAAAGTAAAATGATGCCAAATGATAAAATTTGACCGAGTAAATAAAATGCGAAATGTTAATTTGCTAAAGATTCATTTGCGGAAATGGCACTGTAGCGATAATTTTTTTGGAAAGTGAAATTTAACGAAAAATCTTTTGTACACCGATCCAACGGGATATTGTGTATTAATAAATGAGGAATAAGTTTAGACATGTTTTGTTCATATCACTCAAATTCTATTTATAATTCAATGAACCAGGACAAAAAATGCAGTATCTAATCCAAGCATAGCCCATAACCTCCTAAAAGAAATTACATATTTAAAGCAGAAAAAGATACAGTGGAGAAAAGATACATTATTTATTATATATTAGGATTGACAGATGTAAAAATTGACAATAAGTAATATACATTTTAAAAATGGTCAAGGATGTTCTATTGTACCAAAGAGATTTTCTACAATTACCCATTAACTAACTGTTCTCTATCAGGAACTAATCGAACATCTAGAGGAACAGAACGTGGAAGCGTTCACAGAAGCGGTGAAGACCTACGACAGCATATCGCGACTGGACCAGTGGTATACCACTATACTGGTACGCATCAAGAAGCAGATCAACGACAATCCAGACCTGCGTTGAGGCCCCAACGCCCCGCCTGCCGTCAACGCCGCGTGAGTTACTCTATGCCCCTCTTCATTGCTGAAAAACTTCCCATTAGACGCTGTTATAATTTAAAAAAAACTACTAGTTTGTCTATGACCATTTATTGCTTAAACACTTGATACTCGAAGCTGTAATTTTTAATTAAAACTTCGCGAGTTTGTTTAACGCCGCGTGAGTTACTCTATGCCCCTCTACATTGCTTAAAAACTTCCCATTAGACGCTGTTATTATTAAAAAAAGTACAAGTTTGTCTATGACGATTTATTGCTTAAATACTTGATATTCGCAGTTGTAATTTTTCATTCAAACTTCGTGAGTTTGTCTTTATCTAAATCACTCAAACATCTCAAAGTTAAAGCTGTAATATTTAAAAAGAGAAGATATTATCTATTCCTAATATGGCGGTTGTTTCCCGCTGTTTTAATTTGTTGTTGTTGCGTTGGAAATTTAGATTTGTTACTAGCAATTTAGTATCGATCGATTGTATGTGTGTTTGCGAAATAGTTCTAGTGATAAATACAATTACCAGAAAATTTTATAATCGCAAGAACATCTCTGTATTTTCTAGAAATTTATAGATTTGAATATTACTCTTTATGCACTTTAGCAAATCAAACGACATTCATTTTAAATAAATACATTTTGTATATTAATTAGTAATATTTGTATGTAAATTTGTAATGTTGGAGCGTATTAAGTCCTTGTATGCTACTCAGAAGGTTATAACCATAGGTCAATCTTAGTATATTTTAGTGATTTAGCTAACATAATATTATAATTTTACCACGCTAAAATAAAACCGGAATGTTCCAGACTATTTAAATTCTACTTAAATTGAAAAGTTGTTAATTACAAATACATTGTTTCCTCCGACAAAATTTTACAGTTATTCATATTGATGACTTGTTTAATAGTGTATGTGTTTAAGTATTGTTATTGTAATAAAGACAAACTATTTAAACAGCTTTAAAGGCAATGTAATTTTATCAGTGTGTGAGGATGTTGAGGTTGCATCTAAGCGGTTAGGCGTTGGCGGAAGGCGTCAATCTCTTCTTTTCATCATAATTCTGTAGTTGTAAGCCTATTTCATTGTAACAGTTAGACAAGCAATTCCTATGTTACATTGTTGTATACTGGAAAAATCGTAGCGAGTAAAACTTGTGCAGTATATTCATAGGTACGTGGATTTTAGGTTCATTTGTGACGAAAAATGGAATGGCAACATTATTACTAAAGTATTAAGATACGAGGTTTGTTAGCTTGTGTAACTACAAGCTAAAAAACCTTGTATCTGATGCCAATAACTTAAAAACAATGAGCTACTTGTAAAATCTATAACTAACTAATTTAAACTTTAGATTTATCATCTAGCAGATAAATAAATAAATAAATGCTTAAGAAATAAAAAATATTACTACAATTACTATATCTTCTTTCAAATGTTTAATACTTGTAAAGGTATTCGTTTGACATTGTGGGTTACTTTCAATGCGAAGAGATAGCGCTGCCTTGCAGCCTAAGAAATACTAGAGAAAATTCATAATATAATTATGTACTAGGGCCGCGGTAGCATAATGGTCAGTGTATTCGCCCGGATAGCGGAGGGTGCTTGTCTGAGTCCCGTCTGCTGCCTGGTCTAATATTCTAGTAAAAATTTCTTAAGATTTAAACATCTAGCAGTGAAATAAAAACTATCTCATTATAATTTTTTTCGATTTTATATAATCCCTTCTAGGGTTTTTTCCATAGTCTATGTCTTTACATCGAAATAGCACACCGGTTACACGAATACCTATAGGAAAGCAGCCAAATATGGAGTGAAATAATAAGGTGTTAATTAAATATTTGTGTTGATATTTGGAAACTTAGTCATTTCGTTATATTGCGATTGTGATTCAAAATTGGTATAATAATTCTCATAAGCTCAATTAAAATATAATTATTTCGAAAAAGTAATGATCAAATCATAAGTTTTCAATAATCCTACTTTTTAAAACTATTAAACATCCTACTATTTATTCAATAGTGTAACATTGGAATTGCCGAATAACAAGATTAGTATCATAATCGTACTAGGTGTTAAGTTGGGAAAATAATCGAAATGTTTTTCTGTTATAAATCAAAGCGTAGAGTTAAATGCTACTGTTCCATTATGTAAGTAAGCGAGTTCACCTTATTTGTCGCGAGTCCGTAGGTGCTCCGCAATTTGTATTCAGCGTTATTTTAATTGAATCGATCGTTTCTGTGGCGGCCTCGTTTGGATAATTAATAATGACACGGTATATGTTAATATTTAAATAAATTAGGGTTCAGACACACGTGACGATTTTTATATTTGGGACTTTGGGTTGTTGTAAGTGCTGTGCTTGCAAGGCAGTGGTAAATCATTCCATTATAAACTAAAATTTGATTCGAAAAATACATGACAAATACACACTTTTTCTGTTTAGTTTTTTTTTCAAATAAATGCATTTTATCTTTACTCTTAAAATGCCATGATTATTTTAATTACTGGTGATATAAATAAGTCTTATTATGTTGTCGTAGATAAAAAAAAAGATTTTTTTAGTGTGTTGATTATTTTCGTCTTGAATCGTGTGATATCGTCGACGACCATCGTCACGTGTGACAGAGCAGACTTTGTATATAATATAGCAGTCCCTGTCTGATACAACGAAGGGAATTAGTCTGTCCGTTTGTGTCATTTGAGGGCGTTCACTCTCATTTAGAGTTAATCTATTTAAACAAACACATTTTTATTTTTGTTGTTGTAAATATTATCTGTTTCGTTATTATTAATAAATTTTATATTTTAATTCCAAGTTACCTTTTTTTTATTATGTTTATCCCTCCCCCCTCCATTTTTAGAGGTTGTTTCGTAGTTGTAAGCAGCTTCCTAATATATTTGCTAAGTTATATCACACGTACGTTTTAGTCGTAAGTGTGTACGTGCTCTTAGAATACTAAGTATGGGTTATATTTCATGGAAGATCTCGTAGGTCATTGTAAAGGAATTACTATTTATATGGATTAAGATGAACGCCTTAATAGGCTTACTTTCTGGTATGGTAACTACTTGGGAGCATGTTACATCTCTTCAGTTAAAAAGGTTATCATAAGACATTTCTACCCTTATTAATAAACGAAGAATACGCTTGGATTAGTTACTCCATGTTCTGTCTCTGTACATTGAATGACAAATGGCATTTGAGTGATATGAACAAAACACGGCGTAACTAGTCCAATCTTAGGCCCGTATTATAGAAACATTCTCAGTAATGAATCTAGTCGATAGAAAGGGATGTCGCTATACATAGCACATAGCGACATCCCTTTCTAACTACTCAAGTAAAGATCAACACTTAGTTGTCATTCTGTAATACGGGCCTTATTCCTCGTTTATTAATAATGCGGTATAGGTGTCATTTAATACTTCACGTTTTTATTGCACAAGTAATATTTGTAATTATTTGTCATTATAGTTTACAAGATCACGACTGGAGACACAATAGAAGGGTTTTTATATTTAATTCTAACAATGTTTTTTAATTATGTACCTACGTTTTTTTTTCCTTTCTTTTTTTTAAGTTATTTTGACTGTATTTTTGAGATGTGACATGCTTTTGCTTGGACTAGATCTAACTTTTCGCATAATCGTAACCATAGCAACTGCAGATAAGTATTACATTGTATCGGCACACGGATATTCGTTTAAATGTAAAAATAAAGTTATTAATAAAACAAAATAGTTTCATTGTAAACACACTTCGTAATGATATTTATATTATGGTGGCTTCAATTCGTTGATCAAGTGGCTTGATCAGATAGATTTGATCAATCCAAACTGAACGTGTGTGGGTAGACATTTTGGAAGGACATGTCACTTGACGGAAGGCTCCAGTCCTTGTCCATTGTCCAGGAAGGGGGGGGGGGGGGGGGCAGGCTATTCGATCAATCCACTTCATCAAGCCAGTTATCGAGTTCTATTTTGTTTCTTATTTCTGTCAGTTCCAGAAATAACAAACAAAATAGAACTCGACTAAACGCCACCTACCGGGATTAGTTGGGAATCACAACTATCCAGGGTTTCACTTGAATCAGATTGAAAGTATACATAAAAAATCATCAAAATCGGTCCATTACATTAGGATTAGTTTAGATAAAATCGTAGAACCTGACAACAACACCACACCGGCTCCGGTTGAGAATCCAGACCGCTTCCCACCATCTCTTTTAACACACTAATATTATAAAGGCGAAAGATTGCGAGTGTGTATGTTTGTAACTGCTTGACGTCTAAACGGCCAGAGCGATTTTAATAAAATTTGGTATGGAGTTAGCTGACACCCTGAATTAACACATAGGCTACGTTTTACTGCGGGAAAATAGCCCTAATAAACTGCGGGTAACACCGAGGGGCACAGCTAGTACATTATAAGTAGGAGAATGAAGTCACATTGACACTTTTTTTATTAACTTTGAACGGGAAAACGAAGGAATCTTGGGTGGAGACTTGTAAATATGAAATAGTTACAGATCGCACTAAACTTCCAGTCCGCTCTGTAGTTTCTAGGCGCAGGTGTAGGTACAGTCGTATACAGATCGCGACAATCTTCTAGTTCGCTCTGCACGATTCGGCGTCGCAGTAACAAAAAACCGGTACAGGTCGCGGCACCAGTGTTTAATGATTTCCTTTCCCCACGCGTCAATTCAGATTTCCCCTTCTTAGGACATTTTTCCCCTCAAAAATTATTCTGCTGTAGTTTTTAGATTTGGCACTAGTGTAGTAACTAAAGAAAAAAAAGGTCTTAATCTATTTTATTCTATAACAGATAAATAAAATATATAAAATCTGCACGTGTTGCCACAGTTGCTTTTATACGGCAACCCTCTAGTCCACGGTATAGTCCATAAAAAACTTGTTCCGCATTATTTTAGGCTAGGCTAGGCTTTACCCATAATTTAACCTATTGGAACTATATATAAGTTTTACATCTATAGGTACGACTGGAGAGACAATCGGCGCAAAGTACGCCCGCCCGCGCACCTCGTTTTCCCCCAACACATCTTAATTTTTACTTCTGCGCAATAATGGTCAGCGCTAGAGTTTCGTGCCGCGACTTATACAGTGCAAGGGTGGATCCAGCTTTGACGCCAGGGGGGGGTCATATAGTCGTGGTATATTAAATATTGAAAGTACTTAAATAAAATCCCCCTGGGTTTGGTCCATCTGTACCCA